GCGTGATATTTTGCATAGAAAACTAAAGACCCCATCAAAAGACTGTTAGAACTAATGAACAATTTCAGCAATGTTGTAGGATACAAAATCAGTATACAAAAATATTTTGCATTTTTATATACTGATAATGAGCTATTAGAAAGAGAAATTAAGAAAACAGTCCCATTTATAATTGCATCAAAAAGAGTAAAATATCTAGGAATAAATTTAACCAGGGAGATGAAAGACTTATATACTGAAAACTTCAAGATATTAAGGAAAGAAATTGAAGAAGACACAAATAAATGGAAATATTCCATGCTCATGAATGGGGAGGATTAATATTGTTAAAATGTCCATACCACAGATTCAGTGCAGTTCCCATAAAAATTCCAATGACATTTTTCATAGAAATTGAACAGATAATCCTAAAATTTCTATAGAAACACCAAAGACCCCAAGTCATCAAAACAATCTTGAGAAAGAACAAAGCTGGAGATACCACACTTCCCAAACTGTATTACAAAGTTATAGTAATCGAAACAGTATAGCACCAGCATAAACACACATATACATCAATGGAACAGAATAGACAGCCCAGAAGTAAGCCCACACATAAATGATCAGTTAACTTACAAAAGAGCCAAGAATACAGATGGTCCACAACTTATGATGGTTTGACTTATAATTTTTTAACTTTATGATGGTGCAAAGCAATAGGCATTAAGTAGAAATCATACTTTGAATTTTTATCTTTTCCCAGGCTAGTGGTATGTGGTATGAAATTCTCTTATGATGCTGGGCAGCAGCAGGGAGCTGCAGCTCCCGGTCAGCCATGCAGTCACGAGGATAAATAGCCAATACACTTACAACCATTCTGTACCCATACAGCTATTCTGTTTCAGTATTCAGCAAATTATAAGAGATATTCAACGCTTTATCATACAACAGACTTTTTGTTAGATGAGTTTGCCCAACTGTAGGCTAGTGTAAGTGTTTTGAGCACATTTAAGGTGGGCTAGGCTGAAAATGGGGAAAGGACTGTGTCTTCAATAAATGGTGTTGAGAAAATTGGACAGCCACATGCTAAAGAATTAAACTGGATCACTGTTTTACACCATACACGATAACTAACTCAAGATGGATTAAAGATTTGAATGCAAAACCTGAAACCATAAATCTCCTCGAAGAAAACATAGACAGTAAGCTCCTTGACATTGGTCTTGGTGACGATTTTTCAAATACGACATCAAAAGTAAAAGCAACGAAAGCAAAAATAAGCAAGTGGGACTATGAAACTAAAAAGCTTCTGGACATCAAAGGAAACCATCAACAAGATAAAAAGGGAGCCTCTACTGAATGGAGAAAAATATTTGCAAAGCATGTATCTGACAAGGGGTTATTAACAAAAAATATATAAAGAACTCACACAACTCAATAACAGCAAAAAAAATATGTTTAAAAAATGGGCAGAATATCTGAATAGACTTTTTAAGAAGATATTTATTTATTTACTTACTCGGTTGCCCTGGGTCTTAGTTGTGGCAGGCTGGCACCTCAGTTGCGGCTCACTGGCTTCTTAGTTGTGGTACTCGGGCTCCTTAGTTGTGGCATGCGAACTCAGTTGCGGCATGCATGGGGGATCTAGTTCCCTGACCAGTGATCGAACCCAGGCCCCCTGCATTGGGAGCTCGGCATCTTAACCACTGCCCCACCAGGGAAGTCCCTGAATAGACATTTTTCTTAAGAAGACATCCAGATGGTAAAGAGGCATGTGAAAAGATGCTCAACATCATTATCATCAGGGAAGTGCAAATCAAAATCATAATGAGATACCACCTCACACCTTTAGAATGGCTATTATCAAAAAGAAAAATAACTTTTTTGGTGAGGATATGGAGAAAAGGGAACTCTTGTGCATTGTTGTTGGGAGTGTAAATTGGTGCAGCCACTATGGAAAACAGTATAGAAGGTCCTCAAAAAATTAACCATAGAACTACCATATGATCCAGCAATTCCACTCTTGGGTATTTACCTGAAGAACATGAAAACACTCACTTAAAAAGATACATGCATCCCTATGTTCATTGCAGCACTATTTATAATAGCCAAGATATGGAAACAACCTAAGTGTCCATCGATGGATGAATGGATAAAGAAGATGTGGTCTACATACAATGGAATATTACTCAGCCATAAAAAGAATGAAATCTTGCCATTTGCAGCAACATGGAAGGACCTCAAGGGCATTATGCTGAGTGAGATAAGTCAGACAGAGAAACAGATACTGCATGATCTCATGTATATGTGGTATCTTAAATTTAAAGAAACAAGCTCATTGACACAGACAACAGATTGGTGGTTACCAGAGGAAGGGAGTTGGTGTGGGTGGGAGAAATGGGTGAAGGGGTCACAAGGTAAAAACAAAACAAAACAAAACAATAAAAAATCAAGAGGTACAAAGTGCAGTGTGGTATCCTGGATTGGATCCTGGAGCAAAAAAGGAAATAAGTAGAAAAACTGGTGAAATCAGAAAAAAGTAGAGTGTTTAGTTAATGGTGACATACCAATGTTAGTTTCTTAGTTTTGACAAATGTACTCTTAGGACAAATGGGTGAGGGGTGTACGGGAAAAAAATGAAAATTAAATATGTGGAAACAAAAAAGTAAAATTAAAGATTTTACAGTGAACTCTCATATGTGCAGTATTTATATCATTTTACTCTGCTTGCTCTATCATATAATTATCCATATACTTATCCCTCTCTCTGTCCACCAGGCTGTCGGCCTGCAAGGTAAATTGCCCATAAATATTTCAGCATGCATACCACTAACAAGTTCAGCATGTTTCCAGATTTTTCTAGATGTAAAATTTGCCTGCGGTTCTTCAGTGCACATCTGTTGGGTGTTGACAGCTGGTTTTGCTTGTGTAACCCAAACCCCCACTGAGATGGTAGAACATTACCTTCACCCCCAGAATGGTCCCTCACCCCGTCCCTGGGCAACCGCTTTCCACCACAGATGAGTCTGACTGTTCTAAAACTCCGTGTAAATGAAGTTATATACTGTGGATCCTTTGATGTCTTCTCTACCTTAGCATAATGTTCTTGTTACTCTTCCACATCGTTGCGTGTATTAGGTCATTGCTTTTTATTGCTGAGTAGCGGAGTCCATCTGTGAACACACCACAGGGTGCTTTTTTGGCCCATTCTCCTACTGATGGACAGCTGTTTCCAGTTTTGGATGGTCATGACTAAAGCTGCTATGAGCATTGTTCAGGTCTTTGGGGACATATGCTTGCATTTCCATTGGGATTTTCTCAGGGGATTGGACCATTTTGTGTTCCCACCGGCAGCGTGTGAGGACTCCGGCTCACTGGCATGCGGTGGTGGCCGTTTTAATTCTGGATACTCCGGTGGGTGCGTACTGGTGTCACATGTTGGGCCCCAAGGATTTTTATTTTTCATTTCAGTTTGGGAAAGATAAATGAAGGAAGGAAGAAGGAAAGAAGGATGAAGCAAATAGCTGTGTTTTGAGATTACACATACTGCATACTTTCCGGCCCTGTGTTCAAAGTCTCCAATCCTCGTCCTTTCCATATCTTCCTACTCTTCTTAGATAGTGCATTGTTCTCTTTGTATTCTTCAAATTCCTTTTCTTTTGTTCATAATTACTTTAAACCTGTTTATTTCTAAGGATATTCAGTAGTTTAATTACCTGAACAATTGGTGCCTAATACTGCTGTTTGTTGTATATGCTGGGTTTGGCTCATGGTGGACTTTTTTTTCCCCGGTGTTTTATAACTTTGGAAAGGGAGCACATGTTAAGTTAGGCTTTATTTGTTGGAATCCTGTCTGGTCTGCCTTGGGGGTGTTTAGTTTGCTTTAACCTTATAACCCAGGGATGTCATCAGCCTGTGACCATTTTCTGTATAAAAGTTCTTAATTTGGGGGATCCTGGCCGTAAGAGGTAGGAGGAGTGTAAATTTAAAGCCCAAATATATTTGAAGACAAGCCCAAGGTTATGAATTTACACGGAGACTTTTTTTTATACCCCAAGCTCAGTCTAAGACAAACAAGTCCCTTTGCTAGTGGACTGCTTTTTTTGTAGTCCATCCTTTCATCGTGGGGTAGGGTAGCACATTGAGAAGGGCCACGTTAAGGGCAGAGTCTTTGTTCCAACCCTCTTTTCTTGCATGTCCTGACCTCAGCTCCTGTCTGTGGCTGGGTTTTAAACCCTGACCTTTGGACGTTGAGGTTGGTGGTGCCCCACCGGGCCACTTCTTAGCTCGGCTGCTGTAACACATTACCATAGACTGGGCGGCTTAAACAACAGACATTTATTTCTCGCAGTTCTGGAGGCTGGAAGTCCAAGGTCAAAGCACCAGCAGATCCAGTGTTTAGTGAGGGCCTGCTTCCTGGTGTGCAGATGGCCGGCCATCCTCTCCTTGTACTCTCACATGGTGGAGAGAAAGGGGGATGGGCGCGGAGAGAGGAGAGGAAGCAAGCTCTCTCCTGTCTTTCTTTATAAGGCCTCGTGGATGACTAACGTCGTTCATGAGGCCTCCTTCATGGCCTAATCGCCTCCCAAAGGCCCCACCTCCTAATACTGTCAGAGCTCGGGCTTCAACATACGAATCTGGGGGACACACGGACGTTCAGCCCACGGCAGCCATCGCGTGGCCCTTGCCCCACATGCTGTTTGTTTTCCGTCCCTGGAGTTCTTTTCCTTTCTGCCGAGCCTAGCTATGCACTTGAATGGATGTTTGTATTATGTTATCCAATGTACACGGGTCCTTTGTAGCAGGAGAGTTTTTAGTCTTTCATGTTGCTAGAAATGAAAGTCTAAGGAAGAAAGATTTGTGGTTGTCTGTGATTCCTGGAAATATGAAAAACTTTCATCTTAGAGACTATAAATCTATCTTCAAAAAATAAAGGCACACCAAGCGCGTGGTGGAACGTTACATATATTTTTTGAATAATGATTTTTTTGCACTGATGTGTCCTCTTATTTTCTTCACAGGGCACAGCTCTGAGGGGAAAAAACCAGTTGTGTATTTTGGGGGCATTCTGAGCCTTCAGAAGGAAACCAGACATGTCCTTGGATGACATTAGGATGAGCTCTACTGAATTCCTGAGGCAGGAGGACCTGGACAGTGGGGGCTTCGGGAAGGTGTCTCTGTGTTTACACAGCTCCCATGGACTCGTGGTCCTGAAGAAGGTGTACACGGGCCCCAAGCGCACCGAGTGAGTTGGGGGCAGAGGCAGATGGGCCACGTGACTGGCCAGGGCGGTGGATACGGGCAACACGGGCTTTAGAATGAGACAGATGGGGCGCAAGCGTCAGTACCCGGGCTTTATGTCAGATAACCCTGAAGGGTGGATATTAACATCCTTGAATCGCTGATGAGGGTTCGGAGGCTGGCTAGGGAAGAGCTCAGGGCTGGTAAATAACGGAAGAAAGCTGAAGAGGAGGCAAAGAGAAAGGGAAGAAGACGCAGGGCAACGCAGGGGCCGCAGGGGCTGATGGAAAGGGAATGGGCGGGAGCAGGGAAGGCATATGGATGCCCTTGCTTCACCGTGTTGGTGAGAACCAGCCCTAAGTACAGGAACAAAAAGCTGGTTCATGAGTTAGAGGTTCCAGGAACCCTCTCTTTAAGGCAGTTGGTGGCATTGTTTTACTTCCCTCTGTTCTCGCCAGAGTGGTTATGAGAGAGACCGCGTTTTTTATTACACTGTCCAGCACAGTCCTTTTTTCCGGCCGCATTTCGCTGCTGCTGTTCATGTATTGATACTTTGCGTTGATTCGTTCATCCGTGTAACATTTCTTGAGCACTCGCTGCTGGTCACTGGGAGAGAGGAATGTAGAGTGAACGAGCAACCGCTTCGCCTTCCGGAGCTTGTGGTCTGTGTCTGGTAGAGACCAGCACATGCACAAGGGGTGACAGAGCGTGTGCGGTGATGCTCCAAGGAATCCCAAGCCATGGCGTTTCTGGGGGCAGGAAGGGAGCAGGGGCTGCCTCTGTCTGCCTGAACCCCCTTCCCTCCCCCAGGTACGATGAGGCCCTCCTGGAGGACGGCAGGATGATGCACAGGCTGCGGCACAGCCGCGTGGTGAAGCTGCTGGGCGTCATCATGGAGGACGGGAACTACTCGCTGGTGATGGAGTACGTGGAGAAGGGCGACCTCATGCGCGCGCTCAAGGCCCAGGTACCCAGGCCCGAGAGCGCGCCCTGCCAGCCCCTTGGTGCACAAGAATCCTTTGTGAAAGGCTGGATATTCGGGATTTTCTAAAGTCAGTCCCTCATTAAATCTTCCTTGACTTTCCATGCCCAGAAGGTGGGCTCACCCTCCTCTCAGTGCCTACAGACAGGTGTCCATCCCTCTCTCGGAGGTCCCCGGGTCATCTCTAGGTCTCAGTGTTGTGGGAGGCTTTTGTCGGCCACTCTCAGATCCACAGTTCAGAGGCAGGCACTGTCTTTACAAAGCACGTGGTCTGATGGGGGGTGCATGCATAATGGATTACAATTAAATATTGATTGATTAAAAGATGTACACTATAGGGCTTCCCTGGTGGCGCAGTGGTTGGGAGTCCACCTGCCGATGCAGGGGACACGGGTTCGTGCCCTGGTCCAGGAGGATCCCACATGCCGCGGAGCGGCTGGGCCCGTGAGCCATGGCCACTGAGCCTGCGCGTCCGGAGCCTGCGCTCCGCAACGGGAGAGGCCACAGCAGTGAGAGGCCCGCGTACCGCCAAAAAAAAGAAAAATAAGATGTACACTATAAATGACTGTATGAGAAGATGGAATATTAGTGATTGCATTTTGATGCCATTGAAGAAGCTTATAGGTTAAATATAGAACATTAGAATAACAATACTGGGTAAGGAAGGCTTAGAACAGGAAGGTTAATATTGCTTTTACCAAAGACAGATAACTTTAAAGCAGTTTTAAAAGTGTACATACCTGTTAAGAGCAAGGCCTTGTGCTCTTTGCCCAGGGAGCAATAGCAAATGTGACACAGACAAGTAACGGGACAGGAAATGAACGATCTGGTGTGGTGTTGTTTTGATAGACACGCTCATAGCGAGCTCTGGGAACACAGAAGAGGGGCTCTCTCCCCAGCGTGGGATGGATGGGAAGGGACTCCAGAAGGAGGAGGCTGGAGCGGGAGTGTGACGGACAAGCAGAGGGTTTGAAGCAGAGAACTGGGGAGTAAGTCACCGTTCCAGGCAGAGGGAAGGGCACCAGCGAAGGAACTAGAGCCTGGCCGGTGTGGGGAACGCAAAGAACTGGGGTGGGCACAGTAGAGAGTGCCCGCGGGGGAGCTACGACTGTCCTCATGCAGGTATTCCCCCCTCTTCCCGTCTTCTCCCCTCCCCGCCCCCCAGCTGCCTGAAGCTATGTCAGTTCTTCAGTTCTTTTTCAGCCGGACAAATCTCAGATAGTTGCGGGGAAAGGTAAACGATAGTCACTTACTGGTTGTATTGTAATTTGATCAGACTTCTCTTCTTCCCCATCAAGATATGATCTGTGAAGCAAGTAGGCATTTTGATTGGGAGATAAATCGTTTGGGACAAGAGACATCCTGTGGGATGGATCAGGCTAAGATAAGGTGCATCCGCTGGGGCTCAAGAAGAAATTCAGGAGGATATAAGGGAGACAAACAAAAAGAGGGAAAAAAGGGGGATCTACTTGGCATGCTCAGAATTTTTTCCCAAGTCCAAAGGTATACCAAGGACAAAGGCAGGATCTCTGGCCTTTTTTTTTTTTGTACGTGGTGATCAGGCCACTAATGCTGTAGTGCAGCCGCATTATGGCTGAAGATGTTTGGGGGGATTGACTTGGGAATCTAACTTCCATCATTTAAATTTTTTTCCTGTTTATCAGCAACTAACGTACACATAAATTTTTAGGAAACAGCCTATTTGTAAACTAGAGACTGCATACACATACACACACACACAGTGAGAGTTTGTGTTTTTCAATGTTAAGCAAAACTGTTTAATAGAAACTGAAATTGGCTGTATTAACATTGATATTCACATAACTAGAATACAATTTTAAGTGAGAGTGACCCGAGAATCTACAAAGGCTTGACGTATCTGATACCAAATCACCAAACAGATGTTAAATTCACTTTAGCATTGTTTTAACCACATCGTGTCGTCTCATAGATTAATCTTTACGTTTTTTTTTTTTTTTTTTTTTTGCGGTACACGGGCCTCTCACTGTTGTGGCCTCTCCCATTGCGGAGCACAGGCTCCGGACGCGCAGGCTCAGCGGCCATGGCTCACGGGCCCAGCTGCTCCGCGGCATGTGGGATCTTCCCGGACCGGGGCACGAACCTGCGTCCCCTGCATCGGCAGGAGGACTCTCAACCACTGCGCCACCAGGGAAGCCCTAATCTTTACATGTTTTTGATCAATGTGAGCACATTCCCTTGTATTCTTTTTTCTCTTAACCTTATTTCATACATACATTTTTATGACCCTGTTTACATATTTAATATATAGTAGCACATCATATTAGTACGCCATTGAGAATATTTGTGTTTTTTGTATATATATGCATTCATTCAACAAATATTACAGGCACCATGCAAGGTAGTCAGGACACATCTTAAGTAAATAATAATAATAATAATACAGTTTCATTCTCAAGGAGCTTAATTTTATAGCATTTTTGCATATTACCATGTTGGCGTGGAAGTTTTATTTGTACACTGACAAAGCACAGCACGAACACCCTCAGCAGTTGGGATGAAATCTCTCTTAAAGGGGGGCTTGTTTTGCAATGACAGCCGTGCTGCAGGGCCTGATAGAAGGAAACCTGGTCTCTCTGTCCTAAGGTTCAGACCCCACTACTCTTGAAGGAAACGTTTGCTTTGGCCTCTTTGATTACCTTTCCATTCACGGACTTACTATCACTCGTTTTAGATCAGTATCCCTCTCTCTGTGAAAGGAAGAATAATTATGGAGACCATTGAAGGAATGCGCTACTTACACGGAGAAGGTGTGATACACAAGGACCTCAAGCCTGAAAATATCCTCATCGATGGTGACTTTCACATTAAGGTAAACCATAGTCAAGGCTTCTGGAGGATTGGGGTAATTTTAGTTTTTAATTCTCCACTGTAAATCCATTTTCGGACATGATACATGCTAAAAGAAGAGCTAGTGCAGCTCATAACTGGTAATGGTGGTGCCAGAAAGCTCTACCAAGGAAGGAAAAGCAAGATGCAGATTTGATGGAGTTGATATTTTTTATTTATTCATTTACTTTCATCTCCTTTTTTATTTTTAGTATTTATGTATTTATTTATTTATTTGGCTGTACCCGTGGCATGCGGGATCTTTGTTGCCATGAGCGGGATCTTTAGTTGAGGTATTTGAGCTCTTAGTTCCCCGACGAGGGATAGAACCTGGGCCCCCTGCATTGAGAGTGTGGAGTCTTACCCGCTGGACCACCAGGGAAGTCCCATCATCTCCTTTTTCAAACTCAGTTTCCTGTTGAAAACTCTCTTTCCACTGTAGTAAAAGGAAGAAGGCAAAGGGTTTTTCTTTTGCTCACTCAAGAGCAAGCACTCACTAGGCGGAGCATCACATCTAGTTGGCTTTGGCAGCAGGAATCCAAGCGCAGGCATCTGAAAGGGGAGGTGGCGTCTGGGGGAGGGCTCGGGAACTGCTTACATAGGCATCCCTTCACCAGAAGATTCTGCTTCTCACACTCTGTTCTAGTCCTGGACGGGGGTTTTTATTCCTGTGTCTTTAAAAGAAGGTTCTTCTTTACATTAATAACTTATCTGTTATGTTCTGGGTTAGAATTTGAGGATTTTAGGTAATCACATGCCAGAAATCATCCCCAAATGCTTGGATTCCTTGAGGCAAAAGTGAAACTGTCACCTCTGATGTCTTAACTGTAGTGTTCTGTCATTCTGCCCTGCCGCCTCCCTCTTTGTTCCTGGTAGTTTTTCTTTGCTTTTTTGTCTGTTTTTCCCTCCTTCTCATCCCATCTTCTCTTAGGTTCAGGCTCCCGACTCAGAACAGGTAGCACTGCAGTCCTTATCCTCAGTGTTGGGATCCTCGGAAATTCGCGTCCTTGGGTTTCTGGACACCATTTGGGAAAATAGAAGATGCAGTACCATCTGCTCTACAAATCTGCTGAGAAGAAAGTACCTGTTTTTTCCTAACCTCAGAAATAGTTGAAAAATATATGCAGAATAAATGAGGAATTAGAATGAACATGTTTTGTTGTGTTCATCTCAGAAACATCTTCTGCTTTTCTCACCCCACCCCCAGGTTTTATTGCATAAGAATTGAGATACCAGAATTTCACACAGACATTTCTGTTTTGTTTCTTTTTTTATAAATTTGTTTATTTAATTATTTATTTTTTGGCTGTGTTTGATTTTTGTTGCTGCGCGTGGGCTTTCTCTAGTTGCGGCGAGCGGGGGCTACTCTTCTTTGCGGTGTGCGGGCTTCTCATTGCGGTGGCTTCTCTTGTTGTGGAGCACAGGCTCTAGGCACGTGGGCTCAGTAGTTGTGGTGCACGGGCTTAGTTGCTCCACGGCATGTGGGATCTTCCCGGACCAGGGCTTGAACCTGACACATAGACATTTCGTAAGGGAGATTTTCTAGATGGCTGAGGACCTACAGTTGCTACTGGCCTGTTCAGAAGTAGCTGTTTTAAACTTATCTAGTGCAACCATTTCTGGAAATGTTACTGTACCTCACATCTACTGAAGAAGCCCCAGATTTGAAGGCAAATCTCATTTGCTTGTAGCCTTCACAGAACAATCCCGTGGGTTTGCTCCCTTGCAGATAGCTGACCTTGGCCTTGCCTCCCTTAAGACGTGGAGTGAGCTGATGAAAGAGGAGCTTACTGCGCAGAGGAGAGGAAACAGCACCACGAAGAACGGCGGCACCCTCCACTACATGGCCCCCGAGCACCTGAACGACGTCAGCTCGAGGCCCTCTGAGAAGTCGGACGTGTTCAGCTTCGCCATAGTGCTCTGGGCCGTCTTTGCCAACAAGGAGCCGTATGAAAGTAAGACAGTTTCAGAGGAGTGGGATTTGGGTACTAATCAAAGTTGTTCAACAGAATATGAGCCTTCAGTGAAGTCAGTTAAGATGTATCATTGTTTGTTCATTTAATGTCTGTCTTACCGACTGGACTATAAGCTCCACAAGGGCCAGGACCACATCTGTTCCATTCACTGCTGTTTCCCCAGTATCTACACATACAGTACCTGGAATGTAGTAGGTGCTCAGGAAGTGTTTGTTGAAAGAATGAGTCATCTCAGTTTAGGAATCAGGGATCGTAGGACAGGTAGGAGCCTTGGTAACGCGTCTAAGCTTGGGAGGTGCTGTAACATTCCATAATTCCTGCCGGACAGGAAGGCTTGCCGGCTTCTGCTTATGAGGGGTTAACCCTTTCAGGGCATACACTCCATACTTTCATTCGTCCCCTAATCCTTCATTCATTCAGAAATTGTTTCTTTTCAGTACTTACTGTGGGACTTTACTCAGAATTGAGAATATAAAGATGAGAAAGTCGTGGTTTGTGCAGGAGAACAGATGAGCCATTCTTCAGTCTGTTAAGTATCTAAACTAATGGACGTTCTCCTGCCCATTCTTCCTGGGTGATTATCAGCTCCCATGGTTTAATGACCACCTCTTTGCTGATGCCTCCCAAATCTCCAGCCCTGGCCTGGATATCCACTTGTCTATTAGTCAGACCCAGTCCACGTACCAGGGGAACCCCAAAGCAGCGTCCCCCCAAAACAAAGCCATCTTCTCCGTGCTGTCCTAGTAGCTCATTCAGCTTTGCTCTTATGTTCAGAAAATGGAATCACCAACCACCAACCGAGCTGCCCAACCGGAAATTTTAGTCATCCCATACTCAACCTTGCCCCTCATCTCCCACATCCCATCAGACACCAAAACCTATGAATTCGGGACTTCCCTGGTGGTCCAGTGGTTAGAACTCCTCACTTTCACTGCTGAAGGCCCAGGTTTAATCCCTGGTCGGGTAACTAAGATCCCGCAAGCCACGTGGCGTGGCCGGGAAAAAAAACAAAAAACAAAAAAACAACAACTGTGAACTCAAGGTGTATCTGATTCAAGGTACATCCACTTCTCCCCATCCCCCACAGGGCCCTCACTAGGTCAGACCCTCTGTGTTTCTATGGCAGTCTCCTCACACCGCCTGCCATTCACACTGCAGCCAAACTGCTCGACCTAAAAAGCAAGTGAGACCGTCTCACTCATCTGTTTAAAATCCTGCCAAGGCACCCTTGACATTCAGGGTAAAGTTCAGATTCCTCAGTGTGGAGTACAGGGTCCTTTCTGATTTGGCTTTTGTTTCTCTCTCTAACCTTATTCCTTCCTCACTTCCTTTAGTCAATATGCCCAGTTACACTGAACTATTCATAATTTCTGGGATGCATCATGATTTCTGCAACTTCCAGTCTATTCATATCCTGCTTTCTTAGCCTGGATCCTCCGCTCTGAATCCTCCTTCCCGCTTCTTTACCTGGATAATTCCTGCCTATTGTTCTGCACTCAACAAAGCCTTCTCTGACCTTCTAGTCGTGGTCCTGTTACCAGAACCCTTTGTACTTACTTCTCGAATAGCCATTATCACTCTACATTTTAAGTCACTCTTATTAAACTGAGCTCCTCCAAGGCAAGCGCTGTCCCGTATTTGTCTTTGTATGAAAATCTGGAGTGTGGCATTGGCTTTATTCACATATTCCATTTGTTCTACGAGGAGTCAGCTTTGCTGTGAATTCTCTCTTTCATCTGCAGAAACTAAAATGCTGTTTGATCATCTCCTCAGTGGAATTCATCAGCTCGTTGTCACAGGGCCGTTCTGCCCCTGCTGGATGCGGCAGCCGTACTGGAAGCGTCCGCTAGGCAGAGAGGCTTTGTCCGAGTTCTGTCGCCTCCCTGCCTGAGAGGAGCAGGGCTGAGAGCTCAGCTTACGCTCCTCTTTGTTTCATAGACGCTCCCTGTGAGCAGCAGCTGATCCTGTGCATTAAGTCTGGGGGCAGGCCGGACGTGGAGGACATCACGGGGCAGTGCCCGCGGGAGGCCGTCAGCATCATGAAGCAGTGCTGGGCGGTGAATCCAGAAGATCGGCCGACGTTTGCTGGTGAGCATCTTCCGTGGCTGCACGGCCTCCGCGTGGTGATCTTCCTAGTGAGATGCCGACAGGAAGTTGCTTTGAGTTTTTAGAAAACTGAGTTCCACTTGTGATTTCAACTGATTTTCTAGGTTCCAAACACTTTGTTTAATGAAAAGTTGTCATCCCTCCCCAGAGCATGAAGGCATATAAGGTCCTCTTGTTTCTTTGTGGGGTTTTTTCCCCCATAATTAACTTTTTAAAAATTGGGTTAGAATATACGTGACACATAATTTACCATTTTAACCATTTTCAGGTGTACAGTTGAGTGACATTAAGTACATTCACAATGGTTGCACCCATCACCACGATCCGTCTCCAAAACTTTTTCATCTTCCCCAGCTGAAACTGTATCTATTAAACAATAACCCCCCCATCTCCTCTCCCCCAGCCCCTGGCACCCATCGTTCTACTTTCTGTCTCTCTGAATTTGGCTACTCCGGGACCTCATGTAAGTGGAATCACACAGTATTTGTCCTTTTGTGACTGGCTTATTTCACTGTGCACAGTATCTTCAGGGTTCATCCACGTTGTAGCCTGTGTCAGAATCTCCTCCCTTTTCACTGCCGAGTGGTACTCCGTGGTATGTAGACCACATTTTGTCTATCCATTCATCTGCTGAATGGGTTGCTTCCACAGGCCTTCTTATTTCTTAGCTTTTATTTCATTTCCCTTCCCTTGTGAAGCTGGCATCTCTGGAAATGTGATTTTGTCATTTGGATTGGGCCAATAATAGAAGGAGAAGGAAAGGGACATGGGCATCTCACATCCGTGTACCTCTTCTCATTCCCTTGTGTTGCCCAGGATCTTGCTAAAGTCCTAGAGGCAGAGGAAAGAAGAAAATCAGAGGAAAGGGGCAGAGGAAATAAGAAAATCAGGTGAGGAAAAAATAAATAGCAGGAAGGAACGTAGGAGCCTACAAAGGATTTTGCTCTCGTATTTCTGCTATGAGAAAACAGAATTGAAGCCCTACCTACCACTCCCACCAAAGGGTTAGAGGGGTGATTGATTTAGTTGCCTGTTTTCTTATTTGCTGAATCTTATCCTGGCTTGCTTCTCTCATGCCTTTTTCACTTTTTTAAACTAAAATTCTTATTTTGAGGTAATTGTAGATTTACATGCAGTTATAAGAAATAACACAGATATCCCATGTACCCTTTACCTCGTTTCCCCCACTGATAACATCCGGCCAGACTACAGGACTGCATTACCACTGGGATATTGACACTGACACAGTCGGATACGGAACCTTTCCATTACCACAAGGGTCCTTCCTGTTGGTCTTTCATAGGAGTAAAGCTGCTGTAAATATTCATGTTGCAGGTTTTTGTGTGAATATAAGTCTTTGTTTCTCTGGAATAAAAATACCCAGGAGTGAAAGAACTAGGTCATATGGTAGGTTCATGTTTAGGGTTTTTTTTTTTTTTTTTTTTTAAACAAACTGCCAAACTGGGAATTCCCTGGCGGTCCAGTGGTTAGGACTCTGTGCTCTCACTGCCAAAGGCCCAGGTTCAGTCCCTGGTCGGGGAACTATGGTCCCACAAGCCGCGTGGCACGGCCAAAAAAACCCCAAAAAACAAGATCACACATGCCAACAACAGCAACAACAAAACAAAGCAAAACAAAACTGCCAGACTGTTTTCCAGAGTGGCTGTACCATTTTATATTCTCACCAGTTTCTCTGCATCCTTACCAGCATTTGGTGGTGTTGCTGTTTTTAAATTTTAGCCACTCTGATAGGTATGTAGTGATATCTCATTGTGGTTTTAATTTGCATTTCTGTAATGGCTAATGTTGGTGAATATCTTTTCATGTTCTTATTTGCCATCTGTGTATCTTCCTTGCTGAAAAATGTTGCTCTATGTCTTTTGCCCATTTTCTAATTGGATTTTGTTTTTTCACTGTTGAATTTAGAGTGTTCTTTATATATTCTATATATAGTATTCCTTTCTTGGACATGTGGTTTTCAAATATTTTCTCCCAGTCCGTAGCTTGGTTTTTTTCATCCTCTTAGCAGGGTCTTTCACAGAGTAAAAGTTTTTTATTTTGATGAAGACTCATTCATTAATTTTTCCTTTTATGTATTATACTTTTGGTGTCAAGTCTAAGGACACTGTCAGTGTTAGATCCCAAATTTTTTTTTCTGTTTTGTTCTAAAATTCTTACGGTTTTACATTTAAGTCTCTGTTAAGTTTTTTTTGTTTGTTTTTTTGTTGTCAAGGAAAATTTATTATTGCTAACATAAGAATGATAACACAAAACTAAATATTGGTTGTCTTTCTTGCCAGTTATTTAATTTATGTCTTACTGGGAAAATACCATGACCCATTTTGAGTTAATTTTTGTATAAGGTGTGAGACTTAGGTTGAAGTTTGCTTTTTTTTTTTCTTTTTGCCTCATTCCAACACCATTTGTTGAAAGGCTGCCCTTCTTCCCTTGCATTGTTTTTTGTCCTTTGTCAGAAATCAGTTGGGATATTTGTGTGGGTCTGTTTCTGGATTCTCTGTTCTGGTCCGTTAATCTATGCATCTATCCCTACTCCAGTACCTACGGTCTTAATTACTCTAGTGACATAAGTTCTTGAAATTGGATGGACTGATTTCTCCCACTTTTTTCTTCATTTAAAAAGTTATTTTAACGACTTTAGTTCCTGTCTTTCCATATAAAATTTAGAAAAATCTTGTCTATGTCTAAAAAAAGAATCTTACTGGGATTTTGATAGGAATTGTGTTAAACCTGTGTATCCATTTGGGGAGAATTGACATCTTTACTATACTGAGTCTTCTAATCCGTGAACACAATATGTCTCTCCATTTATTTAGATTGTCTTTGATTTCTTTATCAGTGTTGTATAGTTTTCAACATACAAGTCCTATATATCTATTTCCTTTTTTTTTTTTTAGCAATTATAAGTAGGTTGTATTTTTAACTTAGGTGTCCATTTGTTCATTGCTAGAATATAGAAGTAGAGTTGATTTTTTATATGTTAATCTTATATCCTGTGACCTTGTTGAACTCACTAACTGGTTCTAGGAGTTTTTTTGGAGACTTTTTTAGATTTTCATGTCATTTCCAAACAGGGACATTTTCATTTCTTTCTTTCTGATCTGTTTGGTTTCTATTTCCTTTTCTTGCTTTATTGTACTGGCTAGAATTTCCATTCATTTTTATTGTTCTGTCTTCCATTTCACTGACTTTCCTCTTTCTCCTCCATTTTGCTGTAGAGTTCATCCACTGAGCTTTTTATTTGCCTTATTTTTCAGTTCTAAAATTTCACTGAACTTTCTTTCATATCTTCTGTTTCTTTGTTGATGTTTTCCATTTTTTCATTTGTTTCAAGCATGTTCATAATTGCTTCTTGAAGCATTTTTATCATGGCTGTTTAAAAATCTTTGATGTGGAATCCTAATGTCCCTGTCATCTTGATGTTGGCATCTGTTAGTTGTCTTTTGTCATTCAGTTTGTGACCTTACTGGGTCTTCGTATGATGAATGATTTTTCTGTTGAAACTTGTACACTCTCTTACTATGAAGCCTTCTGTTTTTAACTGGCCTCTTCTGACATGGCTTTGATAAAGAAAGGGTGACTGCCACCTTGTTAGCACCAGGTGAAAGGAAGTCAGTTTCCCCACTTGGCCCTGTTGACACCTGAAGTGGGAGGCTTTTCGTTACTACTGGTCAGGGGTGAGGGTTTCAGTGGAGTCCACATGGTCTCCATGGACACTGCAATGGAGGTGAAAGTCCCGACTCACCCAAGGCCTCTTCTGATAGTTCCCCATCGGGATAGGGAAGGAGCATCTTATTACTGCAAGGTGAGGATGCAAGTTCAGTCTACCCTTGTTGTCCACTGACACCACAGGAGTGGAGGGGCTCATTACCACCTGACTGGAAGGAAAGTTCTGGCCTCCTATTTGGCCTTCTCTGACATCACCCTGGTGGGGTGTTGGAGCACCCTGTCAGTGTCTTCTGGGGTCGGGAGTCTCAACTCCCCACTCAGTCTTTGCTGGTGGGGGTGGGGGATGGAGTCATGATTTTTCTATGGCATTTCGCTGGAGAGTGGTTATGGACTACGCACTCTGTCTTGCTAGGCTTCCCCTTGCTTAGCCCTCTGGCCAGAAAGAACAGGCTTTTTTTTTTTTTTTTTTTTTTAAGAACAGGCTTTTGTTGGGCTTTTTTGTTGGGTTGCTAGCTTCTTCAGGTCCAAGTCTGAGATCTGTGCAGCAAAAAAAAAAAAAAAAAAAATCCAGTAAGCTCACTGCCATGTCTTTCCTCAGATCCCAAAGTCCCTAGCTAGTCTGACTTTGTCTCTCCTCCTTTCGGTCTCCTTATGTTTGTTTTATATATAATATAACATATAGGGGTTCTTGTCATACTTAGTGGGAGAAATAAGGAAAAGTATGTCTATTCCATCTTCCCAAAAATGGAAATTACATTTTTCTTTTAAGGCCAACAGCTCTAACTTTATACCAGATCCTTATTCTGAGTGTTCCACCCTATAGTAACTCAGATGCCAAAGGGACAGAAACAAGGAGTCCACCCATCTTTTTTCATTTGGAAATTAACTCGTATTAGGTAGGGCTTTGTGCTGCAGCCAGAGAAACTGTCTATTATTAGGCAGGAGTCCTGGGTTTCCAGTGATATCCTATCCTTCGTTCTGTCTGTGTAATAGTCTTGTTAGTCTCTTTATGAAAGTCAGTGATTTGGCATTTAAGTTTATATTTCCCTGCTTTGCCCACAGATTACGGTAAGTAATTCAAAGATAATAGATTGGTAATATTTTAATTTTATTCTAGAAAATACTTAAGAAATTTAAAGTACTATTTTTTTTATATATAGGCATTGAAGAGAAATTTAGGCCTTTTTATTTAAATCAATTAGAAGAACATGTAGAAGAGGATGTGAAGAGTTTAAAGGTAGGTAACATAGCAGCTGCTCAAAACGCTAACATATTGAAGCATATATATTGTCAGTCATGAAAACCAAAGCATTATACTTTATTACTGAGATTTGAGGTAACCTAGCTTGGTAACCACAAAAAACAAAATAGGCAGTTTTATGCAGATATCATCAAGTTAGCATACCAGACCCGTTCCTCTGTCAAAACTAATGAAATGAGAGAAAATATATCACCAATATGAAAACAAAAGCACAACATTACTGGAACAGGATGGAAAGTACCATAGGTGGGTCAGTCATTTTGAGGAATTCTTGAAAGATAAAAAGCCAACAGAATTATTTATATCTGTTGAGACATAAAACAGGAAAAAAGTTTTAAAAGGCTGCCCCAAACATGATAATCAAGAAGTCACAGAGGAAGACGTCTCGGGTCAGCGTGTAGAAGAAGTGGGTGGTCACACGGGACGTTGGTAGGTGTCGTCATTTGGGAGCCATGGTTGTGTCAGTTTTAAAAGTTGGCTCCTCCCTCCTCACGTCTTGTGCTAAAGCAGCAGATGGAAGCAGCATGTGCCAAGGGCCGAAGCAGTGAGTTTGGTGCCTGAGATCAGAGAGGTATGTCAGAGACTCTTGCCAACTAACCAACCAAGAGGAACAGAGACCTCCCCTCCTCACACACTCAGGAAACAAGCTGTTATCTTAAGTCTTACAGCAACATGCTGCTATAATCGTGAAAGGGAGACTACAGTAAATAAAACAGGCAGGCAGACAGAGATTTTAAGATATACACACACACACACACACAGTCAGATAGTCAAGAATTGCCAGGCTGGCCATCATCAAAAAATCTACAAACAATGAATGCTGGAGAGGGTGTGGAGAAAAGGGAACCCTCTCGCACTGTTGGTGGGAATGTAAATTGATACAGCCACTGTGGAGAACAGTATGGAGGTTCCTTAAACTAAAAATAGAACTACCATACGACCCAGCAATCCCACTACTGGGCCTATACCCTGAGAAAACCATAATTCAAAGAGTCATGTACCACAATGTTCATTGCAGCTCTATTTACAATAGCCAGGACATGGAAGCAACCTAGTGTCCATCGACAGATGAGTGGATAAAGAAGATGTGACACATATATACAATGGAATATTACTCAGCCATAAAAAGAAACAAAATTGAGTTATTTGTAGTGAGGTGGATGGACCTAGAGTCTGTCATACAGAGTGAAGTAAGTCAGAAAGGGAAAAACAAATACCGTATGCTAACGCATATATATGGAATCTAAAATAAAAGTTCTCATGAACCTAGGGGCAGGACAGGAATAAAGACGCAGGCATACTAGAGAATGGACTTGAGGACATGGGGAGGGGGAATGGTAAGCTGGGATGAAGTGAGAGAGTGGCATGGACATATATACACTACCAAACGTAAAATAGATAGCTAGTGGGAAGCAGCCGCATGGCACAGGGAGATCAGCTCGGTGCTTTGTGACCACCTAGAGGGGTGGGATAGGGAGGGTGGGAGGGAGATGCAAGAGGGAGGGGATATGGGGACATATGTATATGTATAACTGATTCACTTTGTTATAAAGCAGAAACTAACACACCATTGTAAAGCAATTATACTCCAATCAAGATGTTAAAAAAATTAAAAAAAAACAAAACAATTGGCAGACTTTGGAGGGATACCTACACTATAAAAGAGAGGCATCCAGTGCAAACCAAGGAAGTCATCAGAAGGACATCAGGAAAGATAGTCACTGAGGAAAAAAAGCATTGCCACAGCAATCAGGAATGATTCATAACAATAAAAGTTTCATTTCACCAAGAAGGTAATAACAGCTTTAAGTATGTTGACCCTTGAACAACACAGGTTTGAACTCCATGGGTCCACTTATACACAGATTTTTCTCAATAAATACGTACTACATGATCTTTTACTTGGTCGAATTCATGACGTGGAACCACAAATACAGAGGGCCAACTGTAAAATTATACTTGGATTTTCGACTGTGAGGGGGTGAGCACCCCTAACTCCCATGTTGTTCAGGGGTCAACTGTATAATTTAGCAAAACTGGCTCAAATAGAGATGGAAAACCTGAATATTCCCATAGCTATTAAAAGAGATTGAATCAGTCCTGCAAGAAAATTCCACAACCAGATAGCTTCATCAGCAGTTTCTATCAAATATTCAATGAAGAAATTACCCCAATTGTATACAACTTGTCGAGATAATAGAGAAGAAGGAACGTTCCTAAACTCATTTTATGAGACTAGCATAATAACCTTGATTCCCAAACCTGAAAAGAAGATACAAGAAAGGAAACTTACAGAACAATTTCACTTAACAATGTAGATGTGAAAATCCTGAGTAAAATATAAACAAGCTGAATCCATCAATGGACAGTAAAGCTTGAAAAAGATATATGATCTCACTAACAGAAAAGCAAAGTGAATTGATTATAATTTTTCATCCATTAGACTGACAGTAGTTTTGAAAGGTTGATAATATCAAGTGTTTGTGAAAATGCAGAATAACAGACAATCTCATGTAGTATTGGTAAAAGTGAAAGTTGAAGTTTATTGAACAGTGAAGCATCTATCACACTTTTAAAAGCACATAACTTTTGCTGCAGTTCTGCTCTTAGTAATCTATCCTACTCACATGTACGCTCAAAGATTTAGCTTCAGGAGATTTTTGCACCTTTGTGAGAGTTAAAATTTGGAAATACACAAATGTGTAAATATATATATATACACACACACATATGTATAAATATTTGTATATTTCCAGAATATATGTGCAAATGCCTAGAGAGAATAAAAGGTCCACAACATACTCCAGATAAGGATTCCCTCTGAAAATGGAAGAGAGGGGGTTGGAAGGGACAACATTAAAGTGTTGCTCTGTGTAATTCAGCAGTTTGAATCTTTTAAAAGAAGTTTGTATTTATATATTTTGTCTAATAAGTAATAACTGTAAAAAGAAAACAATTGCTTTTACAAAACAAACCAATTAAAAAATGGGTGGAAGAACTAAACAGACATCTCTCCAAGGAAGACATACAGATGGCCAAGAGGCACATGAAAAGATGCTCAACATCACTAATTATTAGAGAAATGCAAATCAGAACTACAATGAGGTATCACCTCACGGTCAGAATGGCCATCATCAAAAAATCTACAAACAATAAATGCTGGAGAGGGGGTGGAGAAAAGGGAACCCTCTTGCACTGTTGGTGGGAATGTAAATTGATACAGCCACTATGGAGAACAGTATGGAGGTTCCTTAAAAAACTGAAAACAGAACTACCATACGGCCCAGCAATCCCACTACTGGGCACATACCCTGAGAAAACGATAATTCAAAAGGACACATGTACTCCAGTGTTCATTACAGCACTATTTACAATAGCCAGGACATGGAAACAACCTAAGTGTCCATCGCCAGATGAATGGATAAAGAAGATGTGGCACATATATACAATGGAATATCACTCAGCCATAAAAAGGAACGAAATAGTGCCTTTTGTAGAGATGTGGATAGACCTAGGGACAGAGTGAAGTAAGTCAGAAAGAGAAAAACAAATACTGTATAATATCGCTTATATGTGGAATCTAGAAAAATGGTACAGATGAACCTAGTTCCAGGATAGGAATAGAGAAGTAGACGTAGAGAATGGACATGTGGACACAGGGTGGGAAGGGGAGGGTGGGATGAATTGGGAGATCTGGATTGACATATATACACTACCATGTGTAAAATAGATAGCTAGTAGGAACCTGCTGTATAGCACAGGAAGCTCAGCTTGGTGCTCTGTGACGACCTCGATGGGTGGGATGGGGGGCGGGAGGGAGGTCCAAGGGGGAGGGGATATAGGTGTACATATAGCTGATTCACTTCGTTGTACAGCAGAAACTAACACAACATTGTAAAGCAGTTATACTCCAATTAAAGAAAAAAATTAAAATAACATAAAAATGCCTATGTGTTAAGTAAAAAGCAACATACAGAATGCTACAAACTGTACACATAGTTAATATCCTGTGTCATTCTCCCCTAAGTCATTCATATGTTGATTCTGGATATTTTTGATCATCTACCTATGTAGCAGGCACTCTGTTAAGACCATAGCGCAGACGTGACCAGGGGAAGAGACTTGCAGGAAACACAGAATGTTAATTGTTTCACTTGAGTAGGTTTCTCTTTAAAGATAATCCTATACATTTTCTATATCTTTTATAATGAGTATTATTATTTTTATAAGGGAAGAAGTTTTTTTTTTAATTGTAGTAAAATATACATAACATAAAATTTACCATCTTAACCAATTTTTAAGTGTACAGTTCAGTGGCATTAAGTATACTCACAATGTTGTACCACCACGACCAGTATCCATTTCCATTTTTATTATCCCAAACAGAAGCTCTGTATCCCAAGCAACAGCTCCCCATTCCTTCCTCTCCGCAGCCCCTGGTAACCTCTATTCTAATTTCTGTCTCTATGAATGTGACTATTCTAGGTGTCTCATAGACATGGGATCATACAATTTGTCTTTTTGTGTCTAGCATATTTCACCTAGCATAATGTTTTCAAGGTTCATCCATTTTGTAGCATGTATCAGAACTTCATTCCTTTTTAAGGCTGAATAATATTCCATTGTACGTATATGTCACATTTTGATTATTCATTCATCTTTGATGGATACTTGAGTTGTTTCCACCTTTTGTCTATAATGAATAATGCTGCTATGAACATTGGTATACAAGTATCTTTTTGAGTCTTCGCTTTTAATTATTTGGGGTATATACCTATGTGTGGAATTGCTGGATTGTATGATAATTGTACATTAAACATTTGAGGAACCATCAAACTGTTTTCCATAATATCTACACCATTTTATATTCCCACCATCAACTTACAAGGGTTCCAATTTCTCTACCTTCTCACTAACACTTTTCATTTTCTGGGTTTTGTTTTGTTTTGATAATAGCCATTGTAATGAATGGCAGTTTTGATTCGCATTTCTCTTTGAGTAATGATGTTGAGCATCTTTTCATGTGCTTCTTGGCCATCTGTATGTCTTCTTTGGAGAAATATCTATTCAAGTCCTTTGCCTGTTTTTGAACTGGGTTGTTTCTTTTTTGTTGTTGAATTATAGGAATTCTTTATATAATCTGGATATTCATCCCTTATATTTATGTGATTTACAAAAATTTTTCCCTACTCTGTGGGTTGTCTGTTCTCTCTCTTGATAGTGTCCTTTGATGTACAGAAAGTTTTAATTTTGATGTAGTCCAGTTACCTATTTTGTTGCCTGTGCTTTTGGTGTTATAGCCAAGAAATCATTGTCAAATCAATGCCATGAAGTTTTTCCCCTATGTTTTCTTCTTATATAAGTTTAGCTCTTAAGCTTAGGTCTTTGATCCATTTGAGGTAATTTTTATATATGTTTGTGTATGTTGAAAGGTAAGGATCTAACTTCATTCTTTCACATGTAGATACCAGTGTTCCCCCACTGAAAGGTCGTGGCCCCCTTGTCAAAAATCAATTGGCCAGGGACTTCCCTGGCAGTCCAGTGGTTAAGACTTGGTGTTTCCACTGCAGGGGGCAAGGGTTCCATCTCTGGTTGGGGATCCCGCATGCTGTACGGCAAAAGTAAATAAATAAATAATAAAAAATAAAAATAAAAAATCAATTGGCCATATATGCAAGGGTTTATTTCTGGGTTCATTATATTCCATTGGTCTGTATGTCTTTCCTTAGGCCAATACCACACTGTTTTGATTACTGTAGCTATGTAGTGAGTTTTGAAATCAGGAAGTGTGAGCCCTCCAACTTTGTTCTTTTTTAAGATTGTTTTGGCTGTTTAGGGAAAAGAGTTTATTTTCTTAAAGAAGTATTTACTGCTTGTAAGAGCTATGTGAAATTTCTACCTTCTGAAAAATTCGTTCTTCCTTACAACAATTTTCTGGAATTTTTTGGCCAACCCAGTATTTTCTGCTGTTTACTAAAGTATGTCTTTATGTTCTTAATTCTAGAAAGAGTATCTGGGCCAAAATGAAATTGTAAAGAGAATGAAGTCTCTCCAAATTGGTTGCGTAGCAATGTCTCCAAGCAGGTCAAATTCAGGTAACTTATACTGTGATTGAAAATCTATTTATTCACTTATTTGTTTGTTCATTCACTCACTGTACTGTCTAAAAGGCTATTTACAACTATATGAGAAACAGAAGAAGCTATAAAATATAACAGCTGGCTTAAAGGACTTTCTAATATATTCGGAGTTAAGGTACAAATATTTGAGATATTAGGTAACAACATGTTCACCAAAATCATAAAGTATCCTGAACACAAGAGGCCTAATATATCTGATAGGGAGGAAGTGACAGCTCAGGAAAAAGACGGGAACCTATGTGGGAGCAAAGTCCTTGAGAAGGTCAGGGATGACTGGGTCCAGAGTACATGCAGAGAGGTTGGCCTCAGATTCAAGCAGGGATACTTTTTTCATTTAACAGAAGGGAAAGCAGAGTATAGGATATTGAAGCCACTTATCAGCTGTCTGTTCTGAGGCACATCACTTGACTTCTTGTAAGCCTCATCCATCATTGTAGTAATAAGTGTTCCTACTCTTATAGGGCTTTTAAAGAATAAAAGAATCCACAGAAGTGCTTAGCTCAGAACTGCTGCCATTCTTATTTTCCAGCCCTGCGTCACAACAAGGGGACACCTTCTCTGCTCCAACACAAGTCCTTTTCTTCCTTGGTCATTCCTACAACACCCACTTTTCTGCTGCTTTGTTATAACTTCTCTCATGCTCTCACACTGCCAGGCAGGGACGGCTGCTTATTACCTGTGTAACTCACAGGAGGAAAAGCACCTGGTAAACGCTTTTTCTTTGTTCTCAGAGTTTTCAGTGTGTTACTCCAAGGTACAGATTCATGACTGTGCTCAGGTTTTTACTCTTAACGTTTCATGAAACTCTTTCTGACGCTGATTCATTTGTTTTCAGCCGCAGAACAGCCCAGTTCGCTGCACAGTTCACAGGGATTCGGGCTGGGTCCTGTGGAGGACTCCTGGTTCGCTCCCGCCCCCGAGCAGCAGCAGCAGCAGGAGGAGGACCTCCTGCTGCACAGTAAACTCCAGGAGGAGGCCAACTACCATCTTTACGGCAGCCGCATGGACAGGCATACGGAAGAGCAGCCCAGACAGAATGTGGCTGACAGGAGACAGGAAGAGAGGAGACGGAGGGTCTCCCATGACCCTTTTGCACAGCAGAGACCTTATGAGAATGCTCAGAACCCAGGGCTGAAAGGCCTTGCTTATTCCGGTGCAACCAATCATGGTAGTGCGGTACAGCAACCAGCAGGGCTAACCAGCCAGCCCCAGTTACTGCACTGGAGAAATGGATTGTGTACATCACTCGGTTTTGGAGCAAGACCAGTGGATCTGAGAACCGCAGGTCCAGGAGTTTGGGATGGGCCAAATCCAGGCCACATGCCAAGCCTGTATAAAACTCCAGTGCCTGAGACCAACCTACTGGGAAACACACCCACCATTCCATTCAGCTCCTTCCCATCAAGAGGTAAACAGGCCTTTCAGTCACACTGTTCTATTTTTTAACCTTTCCTGAAAATAAAGCAGCCATTAGCTCTGTTGTAGACTATAAGTGAACAAAGGACAAGCGGTTTGGGGTCTTCAGCCACCAGACACACCTTGCCTTCTCGGAATAAGTCTCCATCAGACCACCTGGCCTAGGCTCTTGGTTTGGGTAGAAGTCAGTGCAGCTGCCCACAAGTGTCAGGCCACAGGTCTTTGCATCTAGTAGGCATCTTCCACTCTAACCCGAATCTCAGTAGCTCCACTATGTCTGATCTCTGATGTAAGTGAAGGTATCTGCTTGTATTCTTCCGCTTGCTTGCTGTTTTCTGAAGGTAAGAAATGAATCTTGGATGTTTTCATTTTTTGTCTCATATAGGCCAGAGACTACCACTGGTGATGAACACCACGTTGTTGGGTAACCACCACCACCATCCACCTCCAGAACCCTTTCTTCTTCCCAAACTGAAACCGTACCCATCAGACAATAACTCCCCATTCTCCTTCCTCCCAGCCCCTGGCAACCACCCTTCTACTTTCTGTCTCTATGAATTTGATGGCTCTAGGGACCTCATATAAGTGGAATCATATGGTATTTGTCCTTCTGTGACTGGGTTATTCACTGAGCACAATGTCGTCAAGGTCCGCCCATGTTACAGCCTCCGTCAGAATTTCCTTCTTTTTTAAGGCTGAATAGTATTCCATTGTGTGGATGGACCACATTTTGTTTATCCATTCATCGGCTGTGGGACACTTGGGTGCCTTCCACTTTTTGGCTATTATGAATAATGCTATGCACATGGGTGTATAAATACCTGATTGAGACCCTGCTTTCAGTTCTTTGGGGTATATACCCGGTAGAATTGCTGGATTGTATGGTAATTCTATTTTTAATTTTTTGAGGAACCACCATACTGGTTACCACAGTGGCTGTACCATTTTGTATTTCCACCAGCAGTGCATACGGGTTCCAATTGCTCCACAACTTTGCCAACACTTATTATTTTCTATACTTTTGATAGTTGCCATCCTAATGGATGTGAGCTGATTCAGCCACCTTTTAAAGAAGAAAATTTCAAAGGGTGGCATAGGATAAATAATTTAACTTAAGCATTTGGAGTAAAGCCCTGCCCCTTTACCACGTAGTACTTTTTTCTCTTGCTTTCAGTCTAGATGTACTTACCTGTGTGTTTCTCTCTAATCAGATGAGTCTTTAAAATATGGCATATACAACAGTTTTGGCGTTCAGATTGGAAACAATAATTATATGGAGATTGGCGGAATGAGTCCATTGGTACTGGACAGCACGTACATGAACTTGAAAGAAGACCCAGCTTCTAAGTACCAAGATATCTTTGGTAAGATGCCCTTGAAGGACCCATCTATAGTAACCTTGAACTGTCTTATCTAATATTTCACTGATTATTCTCTGTGAAAGTGCCCTATCTTTCCTCTCTAAAATAGCGCTGTAATTTCCGTGTAATTGCTTTGTAACTTATTTATGTTTACTGTGGAGATAATTAGAATATCTAATTCATGGATTTGCTGTGAAAGTTAAACGAGTCAATATGAATAAAGAGCTCAGTACACTGCCTGGCACACTGTAAGATATACAAGTGTTAAACACACCGTCATCATCACCGCGTCAGTATTAGTACCTAGACCTAGCAGCAGTAGCTCCCTCAGGTCCTCGTCCAAAGGGATTCTGTAAAAGATAGAAGACGATGCCCTCAACTGCACATGCGTAATAAAATAAGAGGGCTTTCTCTTGTGGCGTTCCACTATGCAGCCTCGTAACATTAATCCCAAAACGCAACCTGGGAAAAGCAGTCACGAGGCCAAAGCAATGTGATTTAAGAACCCAGCTTTCTAATTAACCCTAGGATGGGCAATTTTTTTAAATCAAGGGCCAGGTAGTAAATGTTCTAGGCTTCACTGGTCCTGAGGTCTCTGTCGCAGCTACTCAGCTAACACTGTAGTACAGTAGCAGCCACAGACAGTATGTACACGAACGGGCGTCGCTGTGTTCTAATAAAACTTGGTTTACAAAAACAAGCAGCGGGCTGGATTTGGCCCATGGGCCATAGTTTGACAATCCCTGGTCTAACCCATTTGAAGGCTAGTCTTTAAAATCTAGAGCCGAAGTTCCTAATTTTGGAGGTGACAAGGGTACCTTTGAGAATCTGATGAAACCCAGGGTCCCTCTCCTGGCGAAGCGTTGACAGAATTTTGGACGCCTGACGTCCAGTGGTGATGGCAGAAGCTGCACTGTGGGGAGTTGGGGTAAAATGAGGTGTCTTTTTTCTCATATTCAGCTTACTGAGGTCAGACGAGGATCAAGAAATTGGGTTTGTTTGTGGTGTTTTGGTGGTTTTATACTTTTATTTTGCTTCATTTTATTATTTTTACGAAGGCCTGAGAGGAAGGAACAAGTAGAAAGAGAGAGGTTATGGCTGTAGGAGGAAAGAGGACAGCACTTGGGGTAGGGGAGAGAGAAGTCCAAAAATACCTCATCCATTAAAAGACAAGGGAAGGCAGCGTAATGAAACCAGCTCACAGCCGGTGGTCTCAGTTTCCTTGATTAAGTGAGAGGAAAGCAAACTGTTGGGTGAAGGGTATCCTGAGTTGAATGACCTCAACTCTGGCCCGATGTAAGTGGAAAATGCCCAAAAGGAACAAAAATGGTGTCTTCCCCCTTTACATCAGGAATGTGTGATATAAACAAGGGCTGTGTCTCAGGTTGTACAGTACAGCCTAGTAACCAGAGGGGTTTTGCTCTCTAAGCCTCGGGCTGTGCCTCAGACCTGCACCTCCCGGGGCGGGGGAAGAGGTTCCTCCACGTGGGCTGGCAGACAGGTAAAGTATCAACCGATGATCCCACAGCCATAGCATGAAGAAGTTATCTTTTTCACCGTCTCCTGGGACTCTTCACTTTATACAGGTCTTTGAAGCTAGACGTTCAAATGGCCATAGCTTGATGCCTTCTTCTCTTTTCTATTTGGCAGATAATACCACTAGTCTGACTGATAAACACCTGGACCCAGTCAGAGAAAATCTGGGCAGGCAGTGGAAAGACTGTGCCCGTAAGCTGGGCTTCTCCCAATCTCAGATTGATGAAATTGACCATGACTATGAGCGAGATGGACTAAAAGAAAAGGTTTACCAGATGCTCCAAAAGTGGCTGATGAGGGAAGGCAGCAAGGGGGCCACCGTGGGGAAGCTGGCCTGGGCGCTCTACCAGTGTTCCAGGGTAGACCTGCTGAGCCACTTGACACACAGCAGCCAGAACTAAGCCCACAGGGGCTCCTGCAGCATGAGGCCCTCTCCTCACTCGGTGAGCGACCCACCGAAAGCCTGCTGCCTCAGAAGGTTCAGAATTCTTTCCTCACTGATACGGGTTCTGTGCGTAAAAATCATTTCCTGCCTTTCATAGCTGGAGGATGGGAAAAGAAATCTACAGCAAACAACCCACTACACAGGAAGACCTATTCATGGCCAAGGTCCAATCAAAAAAGAAGCCAAATAGCGTTTTGAAAGGGAGAGAGATTCAAGGGAGATCATTTTCTTTCAGATTATTCCATAACCTTCAGTGATGCTGTTCATTCAGTTTCTTGACATTTTGCTTGAGCAAGGAAAAAAAAATTAATATCTTAGAATATAAACTAAATCAGCTTTCTGATTCTGCGCTGTCACCGAAGCACTGTAAAATGCTGCGTTCTCGTCAAATGGGATTTTTTCTGTCACAACCACGGTTCATTCCAAAATTATAGGCTCTCTTAACTGCAGGATCAAATTCTGTATCCGTCACTACAGGCTTCAGGAGTTACATGCCATCTTCACTCTGTAAATTAACGGAAGCGATTTTAAGGAGTACAAACAAGGGGGGGAAAATAGAGAACAAAAATAGGAGACTTTCCCAGGCTGTCATTGCACAGAACTGCTACTGATTCTGACGAGTACAAAGGTTCTTTCCTAGCATTCTGACACTTCAGGTACTTTTCCAACCTGCGTGCCCTGAAGAGGGAGCAGGTGTGCTGGCAGTATTGACTGCTTCACCCCTGGCTACGACTGGAGCCTCAGGGCAGATCAGTGTTGAGCAGCTTCCTCAGTTTACCCCAGGGTACTGTAGAAATAACTTCTTTTTTTTCTGTGAGCTAGGCTGTAAAAGGACAGGTTCCGAGTCTGCTAGCTGTGCCTGTAGCACTCAACCTTTCAAAGCCCGCCTGAAACCAAGAAGGAGTGAAGGCACTCGAGGGCTAGGAGACTGACGTGACCAGGCCACCCAGCATCACCGCCCGCCCTTTGCTCGGCAGAGCAGGTGTGCCATTGTGCTCAGCCCTCCCGGGAGGGAGGCACACAGGGTGCGGTAAGGCCATCTGGCTGCCAGAACAGATCCTAGTGTTTGGTGGGTTCATAACAGTACTGTTGGTTCTGATTCTAAATCTCCTCCAGTCGGTGGTACTGTAAAGCAGAATTTCTTAACCTTGGCACTGTTGGCATCTTGGGCCAGATAGCTCTTTGTTGTGGAGGGCTGTCCCGTGCATCGTAGGGCATTTGGAAGCAACCCTGGCCTCTCCCTGTGGGATGCCAATAGTGCTTTTCTCCCCCTCCTCCCATCCCTAGTTGTGACAAACAGCAATGTCTCTGGACATTTCCAGATGTTCCCTGGAGGGGCAAAACTGCCCTAGTTGAAGACAGCACTGCTATAAAGTAGTGAACCTGTTTTCCTATCCACACATATCCAGGCTCACTACTTGGTTGCCACACAGCATTGGATCACATAGCCCAAAAGGAAAACTGGAGGGGCAAACAGTCCCAGGCTTGCTGGAGGGGGCTGGATGATTTCTTTTCTAAATGCATCCTTTGTGCCTCTCTTCTAAATTCCAAAGAGGTTGCATGATCAATGTTCAGAGGCAAAAAGCATAAGATATCTTTAATGGACTTTTTAAAATAAAATTTTGTACCTCAAATGTAAGCCATGTGTTTGTATAAATGAAACAGTTTGAGATTCTCCACTGTGACTTTACCACATGGGTTGGCATTTCCTTTTCACCCCTTCTATTGGCAGGAGAGGGGAAGCTGCTGATAAAAGAGGAGCTTCTTGACATTGCATTTTGACTTTCAAGATGAAAAACCCACTGATCCGAGAGCCTGCGGCACTGCCGTCCTTCACACCTGGCTCAGAGGCCCTTCCTTCGGCCTCCACTCTCTAAAAACTGGGCTGAAAAGGGCCAAATGTATACCTGAGGAGTTTCAATACAAGGCCCAAGCACCACAAAAACACTAGTCTTGGGCAGAAACCAATTAAATGAGACGACATAGACTACAACTTGAGAAATAAGACTATCCATCTTGGCTCCGAAAAAGGTATTCAGACCCTAAGGTTGACACTGCTAAGTAAGACCCACCTCCAGGTCACGCATCGTGCTAAGGAGAGTCTCCACTTGATGCTATGGTCATGACCTTTGCTTTGGGTCCATGATATGAAGTTAGATCTCCAGCAACAAGGAGTTACTTCTCACAGAACATTTTAAGTAGTATTTTGATGTACATTTTAATGTGTGGTGTTTATTTTTTTAAGTGTTCCTAATTACAGTAGTCATGTAAATAAGAATAGGTCTTCATACGGTCAAGGTTTTAGGAGCGTCCGATTACAAGGAAGTCACTGAAGGGTCAGTTCTGTGGTATAATCCGGGTACAGGGTTCCGAAATCAAGCAGGCTTAAATTCCCCTCTGCCGCTCTGGCTGTGGACCTGGGGCCTGCTTCCTAACTTAGCCTCAGTTTCCTCATCTATAAATAGGGCAATAGTACATAAGGTTGATGTGAGGATTAAAAGAATGCATCACAAGGTGCCTGGCACAAAAATAGTAGTTATTTTTTAAATTAGTTTTTATTGGAGTATAGCTGATTGACAGTGTTGTATTAGTTTCAGGTGTACAGCGAAGTGAATCAGTTATACATACATCCACTCTTTTTAAGATTCTTTTCCCAAAGGCCATTACAGAGCACTGAGTAGAGTTCCCTGTGCTACACAGCGGGTCCTTATTAGTTATCTATTTTATATATAGTAGTGTGTATATGTCAATCCCAATCTCCCGGTTTATCCTTCCCCCGTCTCCCCCGGTAACCATAAGCTTGTTCTCTACACCTGTGACTCTAACGAATAGTAGTTATTTTTTAAACTGCACAGTTGTGCTGTACACACAGAGCTACTTCTCAAGTGTGTACTTAAAAAGTGTTACACGGATAGGCTAAACCTCAGCGCTACCATTTTTGCTGACCAGCAGGATAACTGGTGTTAAAACTGTACAATTATTTTTAACCCTGATCACCTCTGACGAGAGATCCCAATCAACATTTCAGGAAAACATAAGAAAATGTCGACCCCACCCAAGATTCTGAACGTCAAACAATAGTAGCTGGAATATTACATATTTCTCTTTCTTTCTATGCAGGAAATTGATGTGATAGCTTTATGCTGAAAGAACATAAATATTTTAGCGTAACCCATATTTAAGCCAAACCTGCCTTTACTGCTCAAGAAACTCTAATGGGCCAGTGAGGACACTGCAGGTAACAGAACTTTGCATGGCTGTAACACGTAGAAGCACTGTGCCTACAGGACCGTTACAGTGGAAGGGTGTCTGGGAGGAGAAATAACGTTAGGTGCAAGGAAGCGGTTGGAATCTCCAACTCCAGCCAAGGCTAAGCAGCAGCCACGAATGTGCCAGGTGTTTTCAGTTCAGGTAGGGCAGGAGAGTAGCCAGAATTAAAGGGTGGTTGTTTTTTTTCCCTACTGAATCTTCAATTGCAGATAATGTCTATAACCTTTAAAGCTTGAATTGGTCTGAAGAAGAAAAAAAATTCAATAGTGGTGAAATACACATAAAATTTGCCATCTTAACCATCTTCATGTGCACAGCCTGTAACCTGCTGAGATCCCGGGCCTGGTGCTCTGCCCACCGAGGCCCCCTCCAGCCGCGCGGGTCCTGAGGGAGTGGGAGGGAGGGAAGGGGGAGCACAAGTAAAGGCCTGACCTCCGACCCGGCACCCCTGGGGGCGGCTGGGGGAGGGGAGGAGTTCCTACACCCAGCGGGGCCCACCCACGGTTAGGGGTCCAGCGGCGAAGACGGGGGAGACATGGGGGAGATGATGGGGGGACACGAAGGAACGGGAGGGAACGCGGCCAGCGCTTTCCCTGTCCACTTAGGCCCCGGGGAGCCTGTTGGGCTCCCGGGCCTAATCCTCTGCCCTCGGAGCCTCCCTCCTGCCCCGCAGAGCCAAGGCCCGCCCCCCCCCACCGCCCCCTCCCAACCTCTACACTTCGAGGCCCCATCCAAAGTGCTGGGCCTAAACCCCACCCACACACCCTCACCCAGGGCCTTACCTCCAAACCCCGGAACTCCGCCCTCCAGAGACCCTCCCTTCCACAAGCTGCCTCTCCCCTTCTGCGCAGGTCCTAAGCAGAAGCCCTGCCCCACGCTTGCACGTCGCCCCGCCTAGGCCCCACCCCACGCTCAAACGGCACCGCCCCCACACCCGCCTAGGTCCCGCCCCACCCTAAACCCCGCCCCTGCCTAAGTTCCACCCCACCACCTAAACTCCACCCCCATAGCCAAGGCTTTTTTTTCTTTTTCGTTTTTCCTCTTTTCGATTGGAGCTCGGTTTTACCGTGTTGATTCATTGTTGTTAATTCTTTTATATTTTTATTTTTCCTAATACTTCTATTTTTCTAATTTTATTTTATTCTTTATACTTCATTATTGTTCTCTCCTTTTGGCTTGTTCCCCGACCCCCATTTTTTTTCTTTTTTCTGTTGTGGCTTTATTTTACCTTGTTGTGGTTGTTTCAATTATAGCTTTATTTTTCCTAATATATATATATTTTTAAACTTATTTATTTTTATTTTTGGCTGCATTGGGTCTTTGTTGCTGCACATGGGCTTTCTCTATTTGTGGCAAGCGGGGGCTACTCTTCATTGCGCTGTGTGGGCCTCTCATTGCGGTGGTTCTCTTGTTGCACAGCACGGGCTCTAGGCACGTGGGCTTCAGTAGTTGTGCCTTGCGGGCTCTAGAGAACAGGCTCAGTAGTTGTGGCACATGGTCTCAGTAGTTGTGGCTCACGGGCTCTAGAGCACAGGCTCAGTAGTTGTGTCTTACGGGCTTAGTTGCTCCACAGCATGTGGGATCTTCCCAGACCAGGGCTCGAACCCACGTCCCCTGCATTGGCACGTGGATTCTTAACCACTGCGCCACCAGGGGAGCCCCCCTAATATATTTTTTTATCTTTCTAATTTTATTTTGTTTTTTATTCTTTGACATTGTACTGCTCCTTTTTTCTATCTTTTTTTTTTTTTTTTTTTAACTGCACCACGAAGCTTGCAGGATCTTGATTCCCAGGCTGGAGGTTGGGCCCAACCTCCTGTGGTGGGAGCTCCAAGTCCAAACCGCTGGACTAACAGAGAACCTCAGACCCCAGGGAATATTAATCAGAGTGAGACCTGCCGGAGGTCCTCATCTCAGCACCAAGACCCGGCTCTATACAACTGCCTGCAAACTCCAGTGCTGGACCTCTCAGGCCAAACAACCAGTAAGACTGGAATACAGCACCACCCATCAAAAAAAACAAAAATGAAACGACAAAAAAATATGTCACAAAGGAGCAAGGTAAAAACTTGCAAGACCAAATAAATGAAGATGAAATAGGCAACCTACCTGAAAAAGAATTCAGAGTAATGATAGTAAAGATGATCCAAAATCTCAGAAACAGAATGCAGAAAATACACGAAACATTTAACAAAGATCTAGAAGAACTAAAGAGCAAACAGGGCTTCCCTGGTGGCGCAGTGGTTGAGAGTCCGCCTGCCGATGCAGGGGACATGGGTTCGTGCCCCGGTCCGGGAGGATCCCACATGCCGCGGAGCGGCTGGGCCCGTGAGCCATGGCCGCTGTGCCTGCGCGTCCGGAGCCTGTGCTCTGCAACGAGAGAGGCCACAACAGTGAGAGGCCCGCGTACCGCAAAAATAAATAAATAAATAAATAAATAAATAGCAAACAAACAGTGATGAACAACACAAAAACTGAAATTAAAAATACTCTAGAAGGAATCAATAGCAGAATAACTGAGGCAGAAGAACGGGTAAGTGAGCTGGAAGATAAAATGGTGGAAATAACTGCCAGGGAGCAGAATAAAGAAAAAAGAATGAAAAGAACTGAGGACAGACCCAGAGACCTCTGGGAAAACATCAAACGCACCAACATTTGAATTATAGGAGTCCCAGAAGAAGAAGAGAAAAAGAAAGGGTCTGAGAAGATATTTGAAGAGACTATAGTTGAAAACTTCCCTAACATGGGAAAGGAAATAGTCAATCAAATCCAGGAAGCACAGAGAGTCCCATACAGGATAAACCCAAAGAGAAACATGCCTAGACACATATTAATCAAACTATCAAAAATTAAATACAAAGAAAAAATATTAAAAGCAGCAAAGGAAAAGTAACAAATAACATACAAGGGAATCCCCATAAGGTTAACAGCTGATCTTTCAGCAGAAACTCTGCAAGCCAGAAGGGAGTGGCAGGACATATTTAAAGTGATGAAGGGGAAAAACCTACAACCAAGATTACTCTACCCAGCAAGGATCTAGTTCAGATTTGATAGAGAAATTAAAACTTTTATACAGGTAAGCAAAAGTTAAGAGAATTCAGCACCACCAAACCAGCTTTACAACAAATGCTAAAGGAACTTCTCTAGGCAGGAAACACAAGAGAAGGAAAAGACCTACATTAACAAACCCAAAACAATTAAGAAAATGGTAATAGGAACATACCTATCATTAATTACCTTAAATGTAAATGGATTAAATGCTCCAACCAAAAGACGTAGACTGGCTGAATGGATACAAAAACAAGACCTGTACATATGCTGTCTACAAGAGACCCACTTCAGACCTAGGGACACATACAGACTGAAAGTGAGGGGATGGAAAAAGATATTCCACGCAAAAATGAAAATCAAAAGAAAGCTGGAGTAGCAATTCTTATATCAGACAAAATAGACTTTAAAACAAAGGCTATTACAAGAGACAAAGAAGGACACTACATAATGATCAAGGGATCAATCCAAGAAGAAGATATAACAATTGTAAATATTTATGCACTCAACATAGGAGCATCTCAATACATAAGGCAAATGCTAACAGCCATAAAAGGAGAAATTGTTGGTGGGAATGTAAATTGATACAGCCACTATGGAGAACAGTATGGATGTTCCTTAGAAAACGAAAAATAGAACTACCATACGACCCAGCAATCCCACTACTGGGCATATATCCAGAGAAAACCCTAATTCAAAAAAGAGTCATGTACCACAATGTAAATAGAGCTGTTCATTGCAGCTCTATTTACAATAGCCAGGACGTGGAAGCAACCAAAGTGTCCATCAACAGATGAGTGGATAAAGGATAAAGAGGATAAGATAAAGGATAGAGGATAAAGGACAGAGGATAAAGAAGATGTGGCACATACATACCGTGGAATATTACTCAGCCATAAAAAAAACGAAATTGAGTTATTTGTAGTGAGGTGGATGGACCTAGAGTCTGTCATACAGAGTGAAGTAAGTCAGAAAAACAAATGCTGTATGCTAACGCATATACATGGAATCTAAACAAAAATGGTTCTGATGAACCTAAGGGCAGGACGGGAATAAAGACGCAGACCTACTAGAGAACGGACTTGAGGATACGGGGAGGGGGAAGGATACGCTGAGATGAAGTGAGAGAATGGCATGGACATATATCCACTACCAAATGTAAAACGGATAGCTAGTGGGAAGCAGCCGCATAGCACAGGGAGATCAGCTCGGTGCTTTGTGTCTACCTAGAGGGGTGGGATAGGGAGGGTGGGAGGGAGGGAGACGCAATAGGGAAGAGATATGGGAACATATGTATATGTATAACAGATTCACCTTGTGATAAAGCAGAAACTAACACACCATTGTAAAGCAATTATACTCCAGTAAAGATGTTAAAAAAAAAAAAAAAAAGGTACAGCCTGTGGCGTTAAGGACATTCACATCGTTGTGCTGTCGTCAGCACCATCCTCTCCAGAGCTCCTTTCTTCTTGCAAAACTGAGTCTCTGACCCATTAGACACTAATTCCCCCTCCCCCAGCCCGATACCCACAGTCCTACTTTCCGTCTCTGAACCTCCCGTGAGTAACGCTGGGAAGCGGAGCGCAGGTACCCGAGGCCTTGCTTGTCTGCAGGATCGAACGGAAGCTCTAATTTAATTTTCGCGGCCCCCCCCCACGCACCACTGTCCACGCCCTCGCCGACACTCATTAATTTCTGGGATTTCTGAGGACGCGGATCCTGGTGGGTGTGAAGCGCTGGGAAGAAAAAAAACCAACTCCATCATCCCAGTCAGTAGCCAGGCCGGCGGCCCCGGGCCCACTCCTCCGTGAGGGCGAGACGCCGGTCCCGGCTGAGCCAGAGCTGGCACCCAGGGAAGACGCTCTGTGCCGGCGTCTCCGGGGATCGCGAGCCCAGTTCCTGTCAGGGACCAGCGAGAAGCCAAGGGGTTCGGACCGTGAGTCCAGACCGGGCGCCGAGCGGCGACGGCTGCCTGTGGGCCCGGCGCATGCGTGCTCGGGGCGTTTGGGCAGGTGCGGGCTCAGGGCTGCCAGGAGACCCGGCGCACGCGCGCCTCCGGCGCGGCGCGGGGCGCTCAGGGATGCCGAGGGGCCCGGCGCATGCGTGCTCGGGGCGGCGCGGTGGGGCGGGCTCAGGGTGGCCCGGAGACCCGACGCATGCGCGCTTCCGGCGCGAGCGCGACCAGTGACCATGGCGGCGGCGGCGGCGGCGGCGGCGGCGCAGGGCCTGTGGGGCGCGCGGCGGCTGCGGCTGTTCCTCTCCACGCTGAAGCCCGGGATACACGTTCCCCAGGCTGAGCCCGTGGCTGCGTTCAGGTAATGGCGCCGCTCCCCTTCGGGAGCCTCGGCGTCGTTGTCCGCGCGCTCGGGGCGGCGTGAGGGGAGCCGCTGGCCAGGGGCCGGGCTGAGGACACGCGTGGTCATGGCCTCCCCGGCCCCTTGCCCTTTAACCCGTGACCCGAGCGCGGGGGGCGGGGCGGTGCGCTGGGCCGAGGTGCGGCGCCGGGAGCGGCGAGGGTCCGGCGGTGGGAGACCCTCGCTCCCGGCCCGCGTTCCGCGCAGCCCTTCACGCCTGTGGGCAGTGCTCGCGCGCGCTCCTGTCAGGCCAGCCTGGCAGTGCCTGCGCCCCATCAGCTCTCGGAGTCGCGGGCCCCAAGGCCCTGGGTCTCCTTCGCCCCACTTGCCCGCCTCGAGCTTTAATGTGCAGAAGAATCACCTCGGGAAGCGGGGAGATGGCTCCCCGAGGTGCTGAGGGCACAGGTTGTGGAGACGCCCAGGAATCTGCCTTTCTGTCTTGTGACATGCCCTCCCGCACAGGCTTTGAGATACAGCAGCAGCAAGAAAAGTAGATCCGTCTCTGACCCACAGTCTTAAAAATGGGTGCTGTCGGTCTCACGGGAGAGTACGCAGGATATGCGGTTGGAGCAGCGTGAACACACACACACACACACACAGACACACACACACCCCCTCGTGAGCTGGGTCAGTTCCACTCATGACTAGGAAGGTACCTGGCCTTCAGAACTTCACCTGTTGGGAAGCTTCTCATTTGAAAGGAGAAAGGAAAGATCTGACCATGCAGCTCTGTAAGTCAACGTTGAAAAATGCCGATTTATCCAGTGTCCCATTTGCAGAAAGGGATTGAAATGGGGTTCCTGTGATGGCACCAGTATCGGTTACGATAAGTTATTAAATGATTGCAAGAAGGCCCCATCCACTTAGCAGTGCAAATCATTCCTCCTAAAATATCTCTGAAAAACAGGTTTCTCTGGATTTTCAACTGCCGTTTTTATAAATGCAGTTGCAAATTGATATGACCTGTGATGGGGAAAACAAGCAGTGGTGTTGGTTAATCCGGAAACAAGAAGGCAGTCCAGCGTTAAGTAGGTAAAAGCACTCCTGTAAGACCTTTGCTTCAGAACAGCGGGTGCCTAACCTACAATTGAGTTGCATTCCAAAACCTTCCCTGTAAGTCTGCTGTTTGGAACTCTGACTCTTTGTATTTCATAATCTGCAAAGTGGTTTATCCCAGGGCCTGGGCAGGAAAGCCTTTTCCACCTGAAATTGTGTGTTACGTGCATTTACAATATTAATAACTTTACAGAACCTAACAGCCTGCCTGAAGAGAGATGTTTTCCAGTTCAACCTGGGGATGCTCTGTCTGAGCATCAGAGACCCGCCTTCCCCTGGCGCCTGCCTCACCTTCTGTCCAGCAGTCAGGGTGAATGTGGCCCCGGTGCCGAGCCCCGCTGGGGACTGTTCAGCCGTGAGGTTACAGAAAAAGCATCAACAGGAGCGAGTTATTTACCCTCTCTAAGTCTCGTGCCTTGCAGAATTGTTCCGAGGGTTTGAGACAATGAGTGTAAAAGGCCTGGGGCATAATAGGAATTAAGTAATTAGTAGTTACAATTAATAATGATACAAATATGAATATCTAAATAATAATACAGTGTATAAAAGATGTAAAAATAAGTCCTCCAAATTCATGTTAATCCAAGCCCTGGGCATCGCTAGTGCTTTATTGTAGCTAATGGTTACTTTGGAAAAAATGTACAAAAGAAATAGCTGAACATACAAGGTACAGAGAATATGGAGGACTTATTAGGTGGCCCCCATTTTAATTTCTAAGCAAAGTGTGACATTCCAGCTGTGGACATTCAGGCGCTCATTTTGGCTTTGCAAGTTACCAGCAGAGTGACTGGGGCCAGTTACCTAAGCTCTATTCCTCAGCGGTAAAATTAGGTTGAGTCTAATGTGCATCACACAGCAAAATGAATGAGATAAGTAAGCTCTTATCAGAGGACATTATCTAGTTTAACAATTAAACTGTATGTTAGTTCTAGTTTAATTCTTCGCCCCAGATGGTTACATTCTTGCCTGCTCCCACAGGGATCTCTCCCTCCTGACGGGAGGGGGCAGCTCAGCTCCCTCATCAGGAAGTACTTGCTGTTGTATTGCTCCTGACCCCTTCCCTTCCACAAACTTGCTTGTCCAGCCTCCCAAAAGGAGGGATTCCAGGACAAAAGTGAGGCAGGATCTGGGCTCTTCTGGCTGAGCAGGCCTTCCTGCAGGCTGTTTTTTAAAAAGTAGACAGGATTTTTCTCTCCTCTAAGAAATTAACTCAATACAATCTTTCTCAACCTCGGTTGTCTATTGGAGTCTCTTGGAGAATTTAAAAACTACAGATGCCTGGGTCCCAGCCCAGAGATTTTGATTTAATGCAGCTTGGGCATCTGGAGATTTGAAGGTTTGCCAGATGATTCAAATCTAAGTTTGAGTCCCACTGGTATAGTGGGGGCAGGAAATGCTCTCGTAAAAAGGGGCCGAGCGTGTAGCTGTGTAGGTGTTGCTGAGGGTGTGGTGAACGTGTTGTCTGCTGCGTGCACCCCAGTGTCTCCTCATACTTGGCAAAGTGCGTAGTACTGCTGGTTGCAGATTGAACTGTCTTCCCTGCCACCTGCCAGGCAACATGGAGCACCCAGCCCAAAGTAGGGGTTCAGGATATACGTGAACGAGTGAATAATATTTCAGAGTTGCGGTGTTTTAGAAAGCACATGCCACGGCTCTACCCCAGAATTGCTGAGTGGGTCTCCCAGGATTGTCCCAGGCAGGTGTATTTTTTTCTTTTTTTTTTTCTTTTTTTGCGGTACGCAGGCCTCTCACTGTTGTGGCCTCTCCCGTTGCGGAGCACAGGCTCCGGACGCGTAGGCTCAGCGGCCATGGCCCACGGGCCCAGCCACTCCGCGGCATGTGGGATCTTCCCGGACCGGGGCACGAACCCGCGTCCCCTGCATCGGCAGGCGTACTCTCAACCACTGCGCCCCCAGGGAAGCCCCAGGCAGGTGTATTTTTAACTCCACAGGTGATTGTAATGAACACACCTGCTTAAGAACACCTGGGTTAGAGAAGTGATTAATGGGAGGGAGAAATTGACAGCCCAAGAGAAAGGGGTTCATTTTTCTTTAAGTTTTCTATCCTTTTTCCTACTTGAGAGTTTGGAAAATTTGGTGTCCTGAATGGGGTTCAAAGTGATGAGCCCATGTCAGGGCCATTCCAGGGCCTGGCCTCTGCAGCCTGCTTTTGTCTCAGCGCTCTTTTAACAATGTTATCGGAGGCCTGACTCATCTGAGAGCCCTTTGATAAGCTGGAGGGAAAATGCAACACTCCTTTCAAGTATATTTATGTGGAAGATCATTCAATAACTATTATTTTTTCAAAGAAAACTTCTTTCTTATGTTTGAAATTGATTTGCTTTTGTACACGAACAGTTTTCTGTCCTGTTTCCCCAACCTGGGGATGGATGCAAGGTTTTCGGAGCCTCCAGTAACCCCAGGGGTAGGCTGGTGGATAATGGCAGGTCCCTCAGGTGTGCCGACAGACAAGGTGTTGGTGACAGGCACATTTCCTGCCCGATAGCCTGGCTGCAAACCCCTTCCCCACTTGGCCCCAACCTTTGCTCCCTCTCCGTCCCTGTGCTCTTGCCAGGCTGAGCTTGCCCGGTCCCCACGTGTGTCCCCAACCCCTGGGCCTTTGGTCATGCCATTTCTTCTTCTACAAGCACCCTCCCCATCACATTCTTTCTTCAGAGTTGTACCCATCTTGGAAGTTCATCTCAGATGCTGCTTTTTCAGTCTGCTCCAGGTACCTCCACCCAAGCCTTATAGAATCTCTCCATCTCTCTGAAGCCACCTTCAAAGCCCTCCGCCCTAGTAACCCTTCCCTGCCATTGAGCTCCCATCACGCCCAATTCTAGACTGCCAGGTTTTATCTCTATCTTCTTAGGCAGCCAGAAGGATGTGGGATGGGGATAATTAGAAGAAAAGGAATTTGGAATGGGGAATCAAAACACCAATATGGCAGAGCACAGAGGGAAGTCCAAGGCCTTTGGCTGGAGAGACTTCGGACTGGCCACGAAAGGGAAGCCCATGTGAGCCCGGCCCTGGAGGGGTACAGGCCTGAGAGCCAGCAGCCCCTGGTTGTGAAACCCAGTGGCTCAGACCTCGAGAGAGATGGGGGGGGCCTCATTATACATGACATCTTCACTGTGCAAAATGCCTCTTCAAGCATGTCCTTCACACTGCTGGGAAGGGGGCCTCTCGAGAACCTTGAGGGCACGAGGAGTGATAGAGGTGCACAGTCTCCCTTAGTTGAGCTGAGCGAGCGCTGGGCATCTGTGTCTGTCTGGGGAGCTGCCTCGTTTCCTGTGCTGAACACAGGCGTCTGACAGCTTCTCCCCTCCCTGAGGGTGTGCGTACGACGCTTTCTCTTGCCGATGAATGGATGTGTCAGTAAACCATCGTTTCCTGAAATGACTCTATCAGTGGAGCCTTATTCGCCTTTATCTTGATTCTGGAGCTGTCCGAGGAGCAGGATGTTACAAGTAACAGCAGGGTCTGTGCGACACGACCATGGCTTGGTGCTGCTGTTATTGCTCCTCCCGTAATATTTCTGTAGATGACGAGCTCGTATCAGTAGTTATGTCAGGCCTTACTACCACTCAGGTCTGTCATATTTTTCCAGAAGTTGTGTGTTAAGACTCGATGTGCCTGTAGCCGGCACATTTGTTCCAGCATCTGTCCTGGCACGCCTTCCCGTCCCTTCTGCGTGTCCCGCAGCCATCTGGGGAGTTGATGGGAGGCTCCTAGGGCCTGATGCAGGGCCCTGTATGTGCCTTGTTGGTGTGCACCCTCACGTTGCCTTCCTGGAGCTTCCGCGAGAGCAGTTGAGGACGCTGCCCAGGGCAGAGGCCCTGGGGTGGCACGCGGTTAGATGCTGCAGCGTGGGAGGTCTTGGGCCAGGGAGGGCTGGCGTGGGGAGGGCTTTGATATGGACCTGCCTATCTAACAGTCAACGCAGAAACATTTCAACATCTTAAAACCAGTCTGGCCACATTGGTGCAGACGGGCATTCCTGACCAGGGGGCCCTCATGTGGCTGGCTGGAGAATGGAGAGGCCAGATGCCTACAGGACAGCCTCGGGATCAGGGCCTTCCCCCTGGACCCTGAGACCAGCCTCATCCTTGGGAACGCCACCAACGCAGCTTAAGGTCCGGGTGCCTCCTCTGGACCTGCTGAGGCCTAGACGAGTGGCTCCAGGGTCTGTGCTGGTGCCCACCTGGCATTCCACGGCGGGGGCTCCCACATCAGCCTGCACCTTGGCACCCCAGCGTGGGCCTGTAGGGTGGCCTGTGTGGCTTTGACTTCAGCAGGCCTCTCGGTGCCTCTGTGGGATAAGCCCTGAGCTGGTGCTGTAGGATGTTCAAACATGGAGACGCAGCCCAGATCTGCAGTGTGGTGGGGAGGAAACACACGGGTCCCTTTTTAGGTCTGGAAAACTGAAGCACGTATCAGAATAATCCGAGGGACCTGGGGAGGGTACTGCAGCCGATTCGTGTATAAAAGCCTGGCTTTGTCCTCACATTGGTGCTGCTCAGTAGTTTTCCTCTGGGGATGGGGCTTTTCTCTTCCAGCTCCTCTGTGACCTCCGCCAAAGTGGCTGTGAACGGCGTCCACCTGCACTACCTGCGGACTGGAGGTGGAGAGCACGCGGTCCTGCTGCTCCCAGGAATGTTGGGTCTGGAGGTTTTTACCGAATGCTCTGCATGCTGTGTCATCTGTGCTGCGCGCACAATCCCAGATGCCCAGGCTTGATGATTAACTTTAGTGCTTTGCCGAGATGCTTTAAGTAATACTTGCTACAGTCAATTTTAGGTGATGTAGAAAGATAACCTTTCTACTTTATGCAGTTTTTATTCCTTTAAATACCCAGTTTTCTCCCATGCAAGTCCAACACTGTGTAGTTGCTTACAACTTAGAGGGATGACGGGTCAAGGAAAGCATTGTGGGAAGAAGGGATGGGTGAAGGAAGGAGATGAGTGGGAGACCAGCGGCCCAGTTTGCCTGGAGTTGAGGGGTTCCAGGATGTGAGACTTCTGCTGCTAAAAGTTGGACTGATTGCCCTGTTGTTCTTGACTATATGTTCAGCTAAGATCAGAGCTAAGAACAAAACTGGGCTTAAAGCCTTTTTGAAGGTCAGAATTAGTTTGGCGTGAACGGAGCGTGGTAAAGCCAGGTGGGTTGCGATCTCCTCTTATAGATGAGTAGTTTAGATGTAGAAAGTTCGGGGTGGGGGAGAATTTCCAGTGATCCCAGGGCATCTCAAATTTGGTTTTAAGGGTTTTAGTATTGTTTTATTTTTAATTTAGTTAAGTAATCCCAGTATATACTTATTTCCTTATGATTTGCTTCCTTCTCTTAAAAGTAAAATGCTAAAATTTTTCAGTCACATGATGGTTCCACTCGATGTAGCCTCAGCTGATAGTGGCGCTGTTGTAGCTATTGACGCGTCTCTGTCCAGGTAGTATTGAGTATCTTTTTCCCTCGAGCTGTTGCAGTGGAGGACCACATTTACTCCAATGGCTGACGTAGAGCTAAAGCAATGAACAGTTTGCCATTGTTTCAGTATTGCTGTCATTATCCAGGTATAAAAAGCTTTTGGCAATTTAGTTTTTGCTTGTGTAAAACATTAACCTGATTCAAAAATCGAACAGCAAGTTTCTCCCCTAAACTACTGTCCCCCAGCACGCAGTTCCCCTACCCACGGGCAACCAGTGTTCATGTGTTTCCTTCTCAGGTATCATATATTGGTAACTATTCCTCAAAGTAATTTCATTAAGGTTTTAGTATTCAAATGGTCTTTGCACTGGTCTTCAAATGTATACCTGTGTGCCAGGTATTATTGTTTCTGCAATTGGTCTTTAGTTACACTGTTGCCTTTTCCCACCTTCTCACCTCCTGCCCCTCTTTCAGCACAGTTCCCTGGAAGACCCTCCAGTTCAGTGATCATGAGAGAAGCTTGAGATGTCAGAGCAGTAGACGTGTGCTGGAAATCCAGTTACGTTTTCAGCTTGGGTTTTCTGGGTGATTTACCTGATGCTGAGGAAGGTATATCTTGTCAGGAAGAGTGACATCATCATCCTTGATGACATTAAATGATCCTGCAGCACTGAAAGACATTTTCTAATAATTGCCTGTTTATTAAGCGAGACGTTTAGTATCCATTTGTGACCTGAGCTATGAGTCCCCAGAAATCAAGCAGAGCTTAGAAATGAGATGCTGACTTGCCCCTGGACTGGGCTCCTTGGGAGTCTGGCCTTCCACACTGTGTGGAGCACACAAGACAACCCTGCCTGTGCACACGGTGGCCATGACCGTGTGGGCAGGCTGGGGGCTGCCGGTCAGGTCCGCTGCTGGCCTGAGAACGTGGCTCTACTTGGTAACATACGCTGGTTCATACAGTTGTCATGAAACAAAACTAATTTGATTTCTTCCCTCCACCCCCTTCCCTCCCCCCTCATTTCAGTGTTTTAGTTTAATTTTCTGGTTTCTAGTTATAACCAGAAAATAAAACCTTCAGGGCTATTCATATTAGCTTAGTAAAAGACATCTGGAATTTTAGAATTCTGCTTTGAATGACTAGGATCAAATCTCATTAATGTGTCTACACATATTATTAAGATCTCTCTCATTTGTAACAGTCATTTTTAAAAAAAAGAAAGAAAAAATAACCCAGAAGCATGTTGTATCAGTAAGTTTATTTCTATGAAGTTTCATGATTTTTTTTTTTTTTTAATGAAAAGCACGAATAAGCTGAAGACAGATCAAACGTGCTGAAATGATACAGGACCAAATGAAAAATCAGGGCCTCTGTCCTTCTCAGAGTAGCCACTAGGGGGAGGTGGGGGGTAGGTCTGAACTCCAGCAGGAAAGGAAGCTGCTTTGCGGTTTACAGCTGAGGTCTAACTTTGAGTAGAAACTATAGTTACTTTACGTTTGTAGTTGTTTCTGCTTCTGATGTAGTGTGCTTGAAACAATGAAAACATTTACTGGAGTGTAACCAAGTGACTACTTTTAGGAAGTGGAGAGACTGATTTTGGACCTCAGATTGAGAACCTGAATAAGAAGCTCTTCACGGTGGTTGCCTGGGATCCCCGAGGGTACGGACGTTCCAGACCCCCAGATCGAGATTTCCCAGTAGAATTTTTTGAAAGGGATGCAAAAGATGCTGTTGATTTGATGAAGGTGGGTCTCTTAGGCAAGAGCCCAGAGGAGGAGGGTGGCTGGGCCTGTCTTCATTTATTTTGTTTTTGTTTGTTGTTTCTTCAAGGGTAATACCACGTGACTGCTATAGAGAATTCAGGGTTCAGATGGGTATAAAGAGGAAAACAGATATATCAAACAATCTAACTATTTAGAGGTACTGCTACCAAGACTTTGAGGCTCTGCCTTTCTGGGCAATCTTATTACATGTATAAGCACACAGTTCTGTATTGATGGCATCCTACTATACCTGATGATTTTCCAGCTTACTGTTCATTGAACAGTTGATCAAGGAGTTACTTCCATGCCAATAAAGACAAATTTACTTCAGTTTTATAATAGGCACTTAGTATTCTGTTGTATGGATACACTGTGTCTTAATTCCCTTCTCCTGATGGTAGCTAAATCATTTCTAAGTTGCCTCGTGTGTGTGTGTGTGTGTGCGCGCGTGTGCATGCAGTTATACACGGAAGTGCAGTGAACATCGTGTTGTGCATGGACGTTGTGGCGCTCATGTTTTGCTGTTGCAGACAGTGCTGGTGTGGACTCCCTGGACCTGTCCTGGTACACGTGTGTGAGAGCTCCGTGCACATTTAGGAGATGACTTGCTGAGTGACGGGAGATGCAGACATTCATTCTACAAGATAGTGCCAAAGTATTATCCATAGTAGTCACACCAGTTTAGAGTCCCATCAGCAGATGTCTTGGACTGATGTTCGTTACTTCTTTAAATTTCCCCAATCATTCAGTGTTTACTTCTCGGCAGCATCTCTGAGATGCTCATCTTCCCTGTCAAACACATTCTCGGAGCCTGGCTGATCACCCGAAGACCAGTGTAACCACCATCATTCTTTCCCGGCCTTCCTGTAGCCAGTTCTTCCCATAGTTGCAGTCAGTGGCTTTACCAGATGCAGCGACTCTCCCGTTTCCCTCTCTGATCTGCATACCTGTCCTCAGAGTCTTCGCTCAGACCTGCACGGACGCACACACGTTGTCACGTCCAAGTACAGCTGATCTCCACCGTTTCTGGTTCCTTGAGACTTTATCCAACCAGAAGATGTAGTCCCCTCATCATTCAAAACAGTACTGTGTACTAGGTTTTTATGACCATCATATTTGCACCACAACTAATTGAGAGAAGCATTTATGTCGTCAAATGGTGGACTCTAGGATTTTTCTTTAATGGCCAGTTGACACTCCACACACCACAGCTGTGTCGATTCTGATACTTGAGGATCATCAAGCTCTCTCCGCAGCGAGGAGCCATAACCTGCGCTGTGCATTTCGTGGTATTTGTCACAGATGCTGAAGTTTAAGAAGGTCTCTTTGCTGGGGTGGAGTGATGGTGGAATAACAGCCCTCATTGCAGCTGCAAGATACCCGTCCTACATCAACAAGATGGTGATCTGGGGGGCCAACGCCTACGTGACCGACCAGGACGAGGAGATTTATCGGGGTAAGTCCCTCCACCTGGAGAGCAGCCTCCCTTCCCCCGACCTTTCTCAGGCCTTGTTTTGACGTGAGTTGGCTAGTCATGTCTCATCCGTTTCCTCGGCTGTAATGTGGGAAGGTGGTGAGTTCTCAGGAGAGTAATGCAATTTAACTAGTCTGTATTTTCAAGTTTCCTATTTCCAGAAGTGACACTTTATATGAGTCAGGAAAAGCCTAATAAGTAAAGTTCGTATTTACATTTCCTACTGTGATAGTGAGCCTCAAGGAAGGAGGGGGTTGACATGAAGTGTTATTTACAGGCTCATTTCAAGTAGTGAGGGTGGAAGGGAACACTGTATTCAAACGTGAACCCGCATACTTTGATAAAGAATTGTTGTGCTAGTCACACTTTTTAGGTTGTCCTTCAAGCTTATCTCTGAGGATTTTTAGAGACGGGGAACAGGGGCTGGCAGAGTGCAGCCCGTGGGCAGACCTGGCCCACTGCCTGTTGGTGTAAGGCTGAGGCTCTGGTAGAGGGGACCAGCGCTGTGACTGCTGGGGACCCAGAGGGGTGCTTCCCTCCAGCCTGCGGTTGCTACCCAGGCCTGTACTGGTGGCCTCCTCGCCCACCAGGCATTCCAGCTGTGGCAACTCAGGAGTCGCGGAGCCCCCAGCAAGCTGCCCGAATTGAGACCACTGGGTTCGCGGGACGAGAGGACGGCGCACTGAGATCTGGGGGTCCCTGGGGCGAAAAGTGCAACTGACTTAGGCTTCCCCCACTTTCCTGGCTCCAGCCTTCGGCCCCTCTGTTTCTCTTCAGGAGGTGACAGCAGGTGTGTGGGTGATGACGCCCGGCCCCGCCGTGGCTTCCCTCCTGCGTCGCCACTGCTCCTGAGCCTCCATTGCCCCAATTTGTCAGCGTGTTTTCTTAACAGAACTAAGAAACAAAACCCTCCTCGGGAAGGCCTCCTCACTGAGGCGGACATCCCGTCGTTTACTTCCGCTCCTTCTTAAATGTGTTATAAGGTAATACACTTTAAAATATGTATTTTAACATGTATCTTATATAATAGGATATATACTATAAAACAATGTATATTTATAAAACAAATATTTTATATACTTAATTTTATATAAATAATGCATATATGTATAGCATCTCTATAAATTAAATATGATGTCAAACATATAATAGATAATATTTTTATTTTGATTATTTCATAGCTGAATTTTTAGTTTAACTGTATAATATTTGACCCATATAAGGCAACACCTGCGACGTGAATGGACCCACCAAGGAGCACAAGGTCAGTCACTGCTGGCCCGCGTGCTGCTTCCAGCCTGAGTTGTCCATCCATGTGCCGTCTTGAAGACACTATCGTCACATACGTTCATATCCCTAAACGACACATAATTTAGTTTTATTTGTTTTTGAGCTAAACAGGGTGCCTTCGTACTATATGGCATTTTCTGTGACTCACTTTTTACCCATAGTTTTCTCAGAACGCCGTTTCTGAGGTTCATTCGTGACGTTGCTGTGTGGCGTTCTGTTGGGCACACCTGTTGCACTTTATCCTCCCTCTCTTTCCTCCTAGTGTTGCTGTGAGCATCCTTGGGTGCGTGCTCAGCGTGTGAGCAGACCTCCCTGGGGAGGGCGCCCGTGCTGGGGTGGCTGCGCCGTGCTTGCAGACGTGCCACTTTCAGGTGGCAGATCATTTTCCAGCAAAAGAAGCTTACACTTCCACCCCCTTAGCTTAGATCCTCAACAGGAACTTGGAACTATCAGAGTTCTGAATTCTGGCCAAATGGGTGTAAGATGGTATTTTATCGGAGGTCTTAATTTGCATTTTCCTGTTACTAATGAAATTGAGAATCTTTTCATGTGTTTATGCACCACTGGGGTTTCTTCTTTTGCATTTTACCTATTTGTGTCTTTTTACTGGTTTTTAAATTTTTATTGTGTAATATATGATACATGTAAATAACACGGTATGTTTCACAGGTGTATGTTAGGAAGTGTAACAACAGAACCAGCACCCAGGAGACCCCACCCAACTCAAGCATAGAGCGCTTCTGATATGAGCACAGTGTTACTGATGTGCAGTGTTACTTTGTTCTTTGGTTTTTAGCAACCTGATTACTAACTCCTTGCTGGTTAGTCATTGTGTTAGTAGTTGTGTTACCAGTGTGTGACTTGTCTTTTTGCTTTCTTTCTGGACAGAACTATTTAATTTTCATGTGAGGAGATGGTACAATGTTTTATTTTCTCATTGCCTTGGTGAGTTTTTAGTTGAGGCATAAATGACCTGTAACATTGAGCTGCTCTTACGTTTGCCGACGCGTCTGTCAGCTCTTTGCTCACCTTTCTTCCTTCCCCCTCACATGTCCCTTCTAAGGCCCTCTCTCTTCTCCCTGAAATTGTTCTTCACAAGTTCTTTAAGGGCAGGTCCGGTAATAGTCAACTCAGCTTTTACTTAAAAATGTTTATTTCGCGTGCACTCTTGAAACACGGTTTGGCTGTAAGTACAGAAATAGAAGTGGAAGCGCATCTTCTCTGCTGTTCTGGCGTCTTCTGCCTTCCGTACCTGCTGTGTGGGTCTGACTGTCCTTCCTTTGGAGTGATATGTCTGATCTCTGGCCCTTTTTCAGATTTTCTCTTTTTCTTTGGTACACTTCTGTTTTACTACCCCGTGTTGGATTTCTTTTTGTTTATCCTATTTGGGCTACATTTAACTTTTGTCTGGATTCTTTTATCAGTTCTGAGACACACTGTCACCTGCTGATTCCCTCTGACAGTGAGTCCCCCCCCCCCACCTTCCCCCTCTTGTCCCTCCTCCGTCTCCTCCTTTGGGGACTGATTGAACTTTGTAGACCGAGCATTTCCCTCTCCCCGTTTCTATTCATCTCCGTGTCTCTGTGTGTAGGGCTCTGCAAAATTTCTTAAGCTTTCTCTTCCAGTTTTCTAGTTGTTTCGTTATCTTTACAAAGATTCTGATTGCCTTGTGATCTTTTTTTTTTTTTTGCGGTACGTGGGCCTCTCACCGTTGTGGCCTCTCCCGTTGCGGAGCACAGGCTCCGGACGCGCAGGCTCAGTGGCCATGGCTCACGGGCCCAGCCGCTCCGCGGCACGTGGGATCTTCCCGGACAGGGGCACGAACCCGCGTCCCCTGCATCGGCAGGCGGACTCTCAACCACTGCGCCACCAGGGAAGCCCTGTGTGATCTTTGATGAGGAGTGGATATTTGCTTACTCTTAATCTGAAAACAAACAAAAAAGACAGTGAGCATAAGTTGAGAACCCTTTCCTTCAGAGAGGATGTCCGTTTGCTCCTCTTGGGAACTATGGATGGTACCAGGTTGGGGCCATTTCCATCTCAGGTTCAGCTGTGTCCTCCCTCCGCCAGCCAACAGTCACCTTCCCCCGAAGCAGCCCTGCCTTTGAGTGGTCTTACCACTCTTCGCTCTGTTTTCAGGGTTCTCTTACACACACGCACACACGCACATGCACACACACACACACACATGCACACACACACGCACACATGCACACACACATACACACACACACGCACACACACAGGCACACACACAGACACACACACAGACACAGACACACACAGACACACACACACATGCACACACACACAGACACACACACACATGCACACACACACAGACACACACACAGACACACACACACACACACATGCACACTCTAGTTTCCATCGATTACTGCAAACTCCAGCAGTGCAACAAAAATTGTATATTATGAGAGAGCTAGTTGTTCCACTGCGAGAGGGCCTTCCCGAGGGTGTGGTCTGCTACACGGCCAAGGGCAGAGCCATCTCTGGGGCATTTCTCACGGGCCGTCTTCATGCCGTCGTGCCAGCCCCTCTCTCCTCTTCCTTCTTCCCAGGTCTCCTGCCACCTCTTCATTTTCTGGCTTCTTCTCTGCATCTCCCCACCAACCCCGCCCTTGACCCCATCTGGAGTCTTCTCAGTTTTGTGAGGAGCAGTTCAGCGTCCTCAGCCTCTGGACTCAACCCTGGGCGTCCGTCTGCGGGTTCAGAAGAGTGAGCAAGTGAAAGGCAGGCACTGTCTCTATCAGGGTCAGCCTGCCTCAGACGGCAGTTCACTTTAAAGGTGGCTTTTAGCCATTATTTCCTTTCCTAACAGAGAGTCATCTGTAATATAGTTTGTAGTTAGTAGTTACACCCATGCGCCTTCAGTGGCAGAAATTAGAATGAATGATGTGTGTGCATTTCTCAACGTACATAAATGCAGTTCAGAAAAAACTCCTGTTATAAATAATGTCATTTTCACTCAGATGACCCTAATTAGGGGAATGTCTGCTTTTATCTTATACCTTTAACAGAAAGCATTAATTTTAGATCTAATTTCATTCACTTGGTAAGAATCTACTGGTCCCTCTTTTGTGCCTGAGGGCCACAGTGGGGGACAAAACAAAGCAAAACCCCACACACAGAGCTCACATCTTGGTGGGGACCCAGCATTTGGCCCTCACCACGGACACAGAAGCCACTGAAAGTGACCAGCCCTGAGCAGAGTGATGGAGGGCAGGGTTGGGGAAGGCCCGGCCGACCTGGGCGAAGCCGGCGTGAGCCACGTGGAGACTGGGGGAGCACTCCCAGCTGGCAGGACAGCCAGTGCCGCAGCTCTGAGTGCACTGCGCTTGGAGTATTTACAGATGAACTCTAGTCTGAGACTAAACCCATTCTTGCCCACACATCTGTCTTTCAGGTATCCGAGACGTGTCTAAATGGAGTGAGAGAACAAGAAAGCCTCTGGAAGCCCTCTATGGGTTCGACTACTTTGCCAGAACCTGTGAAAAGTGGGTGGATGGCATAAAACAGTTTAAGCATCTTCCAGATGGTAGGTTACATGAGCTATTTAATGGTCCCTTTGCTCATTAGAGAGGCTGCTTGAGTCCCCCAGATGCTCGAGGATTCCTCGGGGATTAACGCGCTCGCCCACTGTCCTTCCACAGTGATGTGTGAACAGAGGGTGCTGGTGATCGTGTACAATGCGAGTTCTTGTGTGATAGACCCGCCTTGCACCAGAGACAGACCATGTGTACAAAGGGTCACATTGTTGAGTCTCTCATAGCAGACTGTTCTTTTTCCTTCGAATCCTTTGTGTGTATGATGGCAAAATCATTCTCCAGAAGCCTCAGATACTCTTCACTTTCTAATTCCAGGATGGGTAATTAGAAAACAGACACCAGATTTTCTCTTTTTCATATTTAGAGGTGTCACCCCACTACATCTTCTGTTACTAGGACAGAAAAGGAGGGATTCTCTGTCATGACCTTCAGCCCCAGAAGAATTAGTATGAGGAAGAAAGTATTCAGTCCTTTCCCAAGTTCCGAGCTAAGTTGTGTCACTTTAGCTGTGACAGATGTCTTCCTGTCTTTATCTGAAAAATTAACATGGTTTCCAATAACAAGAAGAATTGACATCCTGAAGAGAAATTCTGAATTAAAGTCTAATTTTTATAGCTATTTACATTTGTAGTCTCTCACTTTTCTAATTGCTAAAAGAATCGAGACTGGGTAAGATCTAATCTTGAAGCACATTCAGTTACAAAATTGTTGTGATTCAGGTACCAGTTTGGTCTATTCAGTAATCATTTCCAGAATGAGTCATCTGTCAAAACTTTCATAATGAGAAGGACATTTGGAAATGTTACTTTTTTGGTTTAAGTTCAAAATAGCGAGTATATCCTGTTCAAATGCAGTATCCACCCATAGAAACAGGTACTTGAAATGTATTTCAGGAGAATGAAAAGACAACTACAGACTGGGAGAAAATATTTGCTAAAGGACTTGTATCCAAATATACAAAACACTCTTAAAACTGAACAATAAGAAAACAACCCAAATAAAAGATGGGCCAGACAACAATGAGATCCCACTGTACACATCTTAGAGTAGCCACACAGAGGAATTTTAGGACAGTGAAAATGCTCTGTATAATATCATCATTGCATCCACGTCATTATGCATTTGTTCAGACCCACCAAATGTGTCCACCAAGAGTGTGTGCCCGGGGGATACCCCAGACTCAGGGAGGTGATGGTGCGTCCGTGCAGGTTCATCTGTTGTAAGAAGTGTCTGACGGGGTATCGACGATGGAGGAGGTTGTGCGTGTGTGGGGTTAGGGGTACGTGGGAGCTCTGTGCCTCCCACTCAGTCCTGCTGTAACCCTAAAACTCTAAAAAATGCAGTGTATTAAAGAGAGAAAGCGAGGGAGAAAGTGTCATGATACAGAGAATCTGGAAATGTATGAATCGTCTTACGGCAAGGCTGTTAACAAACTTATCTCCCTTCAGTACTGATTCCTCTGACAGGAGCCCTTTTCTTGTACTCAAGGCTGTGGCTGCTCAGTTCAGTTTAGGGATTGATCGCCAGATCTGGAGTCAGGCCCGGGGTGGAGTCTGGCTTTGCCACACAGCTGCCGTTTGAGTGGGTTCAGGCAGGTCACTTAGCCTCTCTGAGCAGCAGTTCTGGGTCTGTGAACTGGAGATACTGGGAACTACCCCAGGAAGCTGCTGTGAGGATTATATACGTGAGGTGAGGTGTTTTTATACATACACACGTGTATATAAAGTATGTGAGGTTATATAAGTGAGGTTTTGCATACTATGTGAGGTTATATATATGAGGTTTTATACACTATGTGAGATTACATACGTGAGGTTTTATATATATATTCTATGTGAGGTTATATATGTGAGGCTTCATATATATATTTCATGTGAGATTATATACTATACATGAGGCTATATATGTGAGGTTTTATATGTATTATCATATGTGAGGTTATATCGTGAGGTTGCGTGTGCTCGGCTTTGGTACAGCACCAACTCCAGGGTGAGTGCTTAGTAAAAAGTTAACCACTACTATTGTAAAAATACTTGATTTACGAGCAGTTGTACCTACTGTATGAGTTAAAGCCTCTACCTCCTGTGGCTCACAGGTGCCGAGTCACTGGGACGGCTCCTGACACGCGGGGTGGGCTCGGGAACACTGGCGTTAATCGCCATGGGGCTGCTCAGTGGCGGGTGCGGCCCCCCCCAGGGCCAGCAGGCAGTGACCCCCACCCAAGAGGAGGGAGGAGCCACTGCCTGGACAGCACCCAGGGACCCCGGCTTTCTCAGGGCAGCTGGGGAGGACAGGGCTAGCTCTGGGGTGCCTGCTGGGAGCAGGGCGCCTCCTTTTAGTGGTACAGCCACCCCGGGGATGTATGATTGTCCCTGATCAACCGAGAGAGGCCAAAAAACTCATGGAGTTAGGGCACCCCCAAGATTTCCCCAGCAGGAAATGGCAGGACAGGAAGTGGAGCCTGACTTGTGCCATGTGAGCCTTAGAAATGCTGCCACACATCAGGGTGAGGGCCTCTGTCAGGGGTGTCGGGGCGAGATGGATGGACAGCAGCTTCTGCACAGCTGCAGTTGTATCTTCACCGTGAGGGACACAGGCTTGAGGGCCAGAGGGCCCCACTGAAGACACCATTTCAAGGGAGGAGCTTTTCAGGTAGCAAGCGCCTACCATCGTTTGGCAGACAGCGAACGGCCCCACGTAATATAGAGACTTGTAGGGTTTTTGTTTGTTTTAACTACTGTTTTCCATGAATTATGAATTTAAATCAGGCAAGAGTGCTTGTTCACTAGTAGAGCTTAAAAGAAAAAAGCCAGGAGAGAAACAGAAAAGGAAACCCAAAGAATGTTAGAGCTGGAAGGCGATCAGACCCCGACTGATCCAGGCCAGTCTCTTAGAGACAGATGCTAAGGGCGGGGGGTGGGGGTGGGGGAGGTTTGTACGCGCTCTGCGCCTCCCCACACGTAGGAGGGTCACAGGAAAACAGAGTCTCCGTGTCTTTCAGGTAACATCTGTCGGCACCTGCTGCCCCTGGTTCAGTGCCCCACCCTAATCGTGCACGGTGAGAAGGATCCTCTGGTCCCGAGCTTCCATGCCGACTTCATACACAAACACGTGAAGGGGTCACGGTGAGTCCGGCGTGAGCCAGCACTCTGCCCTGGGGGCTTGGGAGATAAACGGGAGAAGCTATAGGAAGAGAAGAAGCATGAGGGTTGGGTTTTTCAGGTGCATCCCGCCCCAGAGGAGGGATTTTTGTCCCGTGTGAACCAACAGTCCTGCTGTATTTAGGGAACAGGGGGCCAAGGAGCCCTGGAATCCGAGGGCAGGAGCTCTGAGGGCTGCAGCACATCAACCTAAACAGTCACCTATCATTTGGGAACTTTCGTTATAAAAGCACTACTCACCCAGTAAAGAAAGTTTGTAAAATCAAAAGAAGAAAGCAAATCGCCTGTTGCTTACCATCCATTTAAATACCTCCATTAATAGCATTTTTGTGTACTACTCCTTTCTAGTTTTTTTAACATAGATACAATCATATTCAACTCTGATTCCTGCTTTTTTCCCACTTAAAATTGTGTTGTAAACTTTTCGTGTTATTTCAGCCTTAAATATGTACACATCAGAGGAGAACCTGTTATTCAGAATCACAAAACAGCAGCGTCTGCCAAGCCAGCTGTGTTGGTGGCCCATTCGACTAAATGGCAGAGACACGTTCCTTGTCTGTGTAGCCCCGTTTCTGCCAACCAGCCTGGGGACGCCAGAGAACCTAATAAGACATGTCAGCAGAAATTCTGTTCTTCAATCCATTTGTTTTTATATGGAACAGAAATTTATAATTTAAATACTTTGGCTGACACGGGAGCCAGCTTCTGCTGGTGCTTATATCAAGATGAAAATTCCACGTTGGGCAAGCTCAGAATTTCCTTGATATGCAGTGATGCACATCCTGAAGGAGAAAATGGGGTGTGACCAGGAGCTGGTGGCCTGGCTTTGTTATTTTTAAGCAAACCTCCTGGAAAATAAACACCCAAGTGAGCCTTGATCCCTTCAGAGACTGTATATGAATTCCAGAGCTGCTGTCATTACTCAGGACGTCTTTGGAATTGTACAGAATTCTTTGGAAATTGGCGTTGTTAGTGACCTAAGAACACCCTCCCCCCACCCCCACCCCGCCCTGACCCTCCATGAGCCGATTCTGATGCCCTGCAGGCCAGCCCTGCCTGGTAGGTCAGCAGTGGTCCCTGAGCTGAGAGTCCCCACGGTCCAGCAGGGAGAGTAGAAACAGCTCCTCTACCTCCTAATCATACTAGTTATTCCGTGATCGATTTTAACAAATGTCTCAGAGAATTTTTAAATGTGGGAGACACGCTTCTTATTCTGCAGTAAAATAGCATTCCTACAATTCCTGTCTAATTCCTGTGTCCAAAGAGCATTTTATATTTAAAAGGCATTTCACATATGATTACATACTTCACAACGACCTTATGGGAAAAGATTTTGTCCCAATTTACAGATGAGAAAATCAAGGCTGAGACGTGTTAAGTAATCTTCCAAGGTTGCATGGCTAGTAAACGACAAATCCTAGGGTTTTTTCCTCCTAATATAGTGCGTTCCCCCCACAGCACAGCTGCCTCTCATAAACATACTCTTATTTTAATATGATGGTAAGATGCCTGTACTATATACTTGCTGACCTGGTTAATTGTCTTCTTACTTCAGAAATGACAGGTTTTTGCACACTGAGGCTCATGATAAATGCAGTGTGTTCCCTTAGAGAGCCAGGTTCAGTAAAAGTCTGCAAGAAAGTTTAATTTAGGAATTCTGTTCCAGACCCATCTCCTAGCAACAGAATACATCAATATGGGAGAAAAATATTCCCTTGCCATTCAGATGTTAATGGTTTTAGTACACTCTCTTATGGAAGGTCATTTTCTTACAGCAGGATTCTTTGGAAAAAATGAGTTGAGAGTAAAGTGTTACACTTGCTCCCTTCCTCTGTCAGAAGAGCCGTTTATGTTGGGCGTGAACCTAAAACACGGTGGTTAATTCTGGACCCACAAAAAGAGGGTTGATTCCTTGAGCACCAAGGTCGCCCTCCGACTCTGTGCACAGGCCTCTCACCCCAGGGGGGGCAACTCCGAGTGCAGGTGCTTCCGACGAACTTGGGGTTTCATTTCCCTGCCAGGTACATTTATGATTAAAGAATTAAAGGTACAAGTGTGTCGCTCAAGATTGTACTACAAATAGATAATCAGGTGTGAAACAAAATGCCTTTCTCTCCTGGAAGGGGGCCGAGTGCAGGGTGGGTGCTCAGCAGGCCCACTTCCTGCCTGTGACAATTTGTCTCTCTCTGTTCTCTTTGCTGGAGAAGAACCACAGCATCTCCTGGAGACAGAGACCTCAGAGATCACTCAAGTTCAGTGACTTTAGATTTTGTTTTTAGGCAGTTGAGCCCTTCCTCCTAACAAACTCTTCTGCAGGAGTCCCAGATACAAAGCATAAGACAGTGGTCGCTGTGATTATCCCCCGCTCGGCCAGCCCTCCCTCCTAGATCGCACAGCACTGACACCGCCGCCTGCCTGTCTAGCCAGCCTCTGCTTGAGCGCCTCCAGTTGCCGAGCACGCCTGGTCCTCGGGGCCACCCAGCTTGCTGTCACAGTTAGCGCCGAGCAGAGCCTGCGCCCTTCGGACCCTTCGGGGCTGGCGTGGACGGGCCCCTGGAAGCAGAAGGGCTGATCTGGCTCAGGAGAGGGTGGGGCTTCACGGAGGGTGTGACTACCGCGCTGCAGTGGAGACACGGGGTGCTCGCCGTGCGGGGTCGTCAGCTCCGGCTGCTGTGACAAAGACCGCACACTGGGCGGCTGAAACTACGGACATTGAGGCCCTCACAGTCTAGAGGCTGGACGTCCAAGATCAGGGTGGCAAGGGGTTGGTCTGTCCTGAGGCCTTTCTCCTTGGTGTGCAGGTGCCACGTTCTCCCTGTGTCCTCACACGGTCGTCCCTCTGTGTGGGCGTCTGTGTCCTGATCTCTTCTCATAAGGACACCCATCAGATTAGATTAGGGCCCACCTGTGTGACCTCACTTTAACATAATGCCTCTTTAAAGACCTGATATCCAAGCACGGTCACACTGAGGTACTGGGGTTAGGACTTCAACATGCGAATTGGGGGGCACGGCTCAGCCCACAACAGTACGTTTCTGAGGAGGTTCTCAGATCTCAGGAATTGGGGGCCCAGCAGAGATCAGGATCTGGGTTCAGACCCGGCTACGCGTGACCAGCCCCTTGCCCCTTCCCTGCCTGGAGTCCCGCACCCCTTGCCCCTTCCCTGCCTGGCCAGGGCCACCCAGCCTCCGGGCACAGCTTGGCTGTCTCTTTCTGCTCCTCCACTTACCGTTCTGAGGCCACGCGGCCCCTTACTGGCACCTTACTAGCAGCAGCGAGCAGGCCAGCCTCTGTCCCGGACGCGGTCTAGTTCAGCCTCAAAGCACTTGGTACACAGTGAAAGGAAGAATGTGAGCATCGCACGGCCACATCTGTGGGTGGCAGGGGTCCCTGAGTGGTGACTCAGGCCCGGAAAGTGTGTTGTGGAGTCCACCTGCAGGTTCTGGGGCCAGAGAACAGACCCGGAAGGAGAGGACGAGGGCCGGAGTCCACGTGTGCAGAGAGGTGGGGCCTTGGGCTCTGTGTGGGCCAGAGGGGAGGGGTGGGAAACGGAGTCGCGCCTGGAGACCATAGTCAGGGTTTGGGGGCCCTGAGCAGCATTCGCAGCCGTGGTGGCTACAGCACAGCAGGGGCTCAGATGGACCGGGGGTGGGGGGGGCGGTGCTGGTGATGAATCGTGCTCGTAAGCAGGTGGACGTGTTTCTGTACCTCTGTTTCCTGTGTGTCACATGGGGATGGGGATGCCTGTCATCTCAGATAACTTTCTGAGGAATGAATGGGGATGTATGTGCAAGTTCAGACGAATAAGAACTCGGCACACGGTAGCTGCCTTCGTGGATGGAATGCTGGTGTGGGTGTAGGTGGTCTGGGGCCCAGGAGACAGCAGGGTAGAGCTCGATGGGCAGTCAGGCGCATCGCCCTCGGTCAGCTGTACGCGTGCACACACACGTATTTATATATCGTATACATGTGTGGACATGTAATATATCTATAGCGAGAGAGGATTGATTTACTATGGGAGTAAGGCATTGGCTCGTGCAGCTACAGAGGCTGAGAAGTCCAAGATCTGCAGTCAGCAGCTGGAGGCCCAGGAGAGCTCATGCTGTGGTTCAGTCTGACTCTGAAGGACCAGAGAACCAGAAAGAGCTGATGTTGCAGTGCGAGTCTGAAGGCAGGAAAAAGCCAGTGCCCCAGTTTGAAGACAGGCAGGAGGAGTTCCTCTTGCTCAGGGGAGGGTCAGCCTTTTGTGCTATTCGGGCCGTCAACTGATTGGATGAGGCCCACCCACGTGGGGAGGGCAGTCTGCTGTGCTCAGTCTGCTGATTGAGATGTGACTCTCATCCCGAAACACCCTCACACACACACCCAGAATCATGTCTCACCAAATGTCTGGGCACCTGTGGCTCAGCCAAGTTGACACGTAAACCCAACCCTGGCGGAGGGCAGCTGGCAGGAGCTGTCCTCAGAGGTCTTGGCCTGGTGGTGGTAGCGCTAAGGGTGCCTGGGTTCCCCAGGTCGTGGGTCAGGTGCTGGCCTCTGTCTGATCACAGGAGGGAGGAGGGGCCTCGCTCTGCAGCTTCCTGGCCTTGTCCAGTCTGGCCAGCGGTGGGAAGATGGCCCCAGACCTCCAAGGTGGGCAGGGGGGTGGCGTGTCCCTGCGGGCGCGAAGTAAAACGGTCTTGTGCTGGCAGCAGGTTCGTTCCGGTTCCGTGGAGAGGGGGCCCGGCAGACACCGAAGGAAGGGGGACGCACCCCCCTCAGCTGCCCGGATGACCCTTCCCACCCCCTCCTCAGCTGCTGTTTCTAGTTCCTCCTCTCTGACTGCAGGCAGCTCAGGGCCAGGTTCCAGGATTAACTCCAAACAGGACCAGCCTCATCCTTACAAAGCCGGGTCCTGGTGTCTCACAGTGGGGGGAAGGGGGGGGCTCATCCTTTCTAGACAAATCTCAGCCATGACATTTTCTAAAATCGTTTTTTTAACACCTTTATTGGAGTATAATTGCTTTACAATGGTGTGTTAGTTTCTGCTGTATAACAAAGTGAATGAGCTCTACATATACATATATCCCCATATCCCCTCCCTCTTGCGTCTCCCTCTCACCCTCCCTATTCCACCCCTGTAGGTGGTCACAGAGCACCAAGCTGATCTCCCTGTGCTATGCGGCTGCTTCCCACTAGCTATCTGTTTTACATTTGATAGTGTGTATATGTCCATGCCACTCTCTCACTTCGTCCCAGCTTTCCTTTCACCCTGCTGTGTCCTCAAGTTCGTTCTCTACGTTTGCATCTTTATTCCTGTCCTGCCCCTAGGTTCGTGAGAACCATTTTTATTTTAGATTCCATATATATATGCGTTAGCATATGGTATTTGTTTTTCTCTTTCTGACTGACTTCACTCTGTATGACAGACTCTAGGTCCATCCACCTCACTACAAATAACTCAATTTTGTTTCTCTTTATGGCTGAGTGATAGTCCATTGTGTATATGTGCCACATCTTCTTTATCCACTCATCTGTTGATGGACACTTAGGTTGCTTCCATGTCCTGGCTATTGTAAATAGAGCTGCAATGAACATTGTGGTACGTGACTCTTTTTGAATTATGGTTTTCTCAGGGTCTACGCCCAGTAGTGGGATTGCTGGGTCGTATGGTAATTCTATTTTTAGCTTTTTAAGGAACCTCCATACTGTTCTCCATAGTGGCTGTATCAATTTACATTGCCACCAACAGTGCAAGAGGGTTCCCTTTTCTCCACACCCTCTCCAGCATTTATTGTTTGTAGATTTTTTGATGATAGCCATTCTGACTGGTGTAAGGTGATACCTCATTGTAGTTTTGATTTGCATTTCTCTAATGATTGGTGATGTTGAGCATCCCTTCATGTGTTTGTTGGCAATCCGTATTTCGTCTTTGGAGAAATGTCTGTTTAGGTCTTCTGCCCATTTTTGGATTGGATGGTTTGTTTTTTTGATATTGAGTTGTATGAGCTGCTTGTATATTTTGGAGATTAATCCTTTGTCAGTTGCTTCGTTTGCAAATATTTTCTCCCATTCTGAGGGTTGTCTTTTCATCTTGTTTATGGTTTCCTTTGCTCTGCAAAAGCTTTTAAGTTTCATTAGGTCCCATTTATTTTCATTTCTCTAGGAGGTGGTTCAAAAAGGATCTTGCTGTGATTTATACCATAGAGTGTCCTACCTATGTTTTCCTCTAAGAGTTTTATAGTGTCTGGCCTTACATTTAGGTCTAAAATCTCTTTAAGGTAAGAATTTTCCAACTGCGGTCGATTGTGGTCGCCAGCAAACGTAAATAAATTGTCTCCAAGTTGGAACATTTTGTTGATACGCTGTACATAACTGGAACCTTCATAACGACTTTCTTACATTGTGAAGCACAATACAGATAGAATAATGGACGAATAGCAAACGTGTATTAAGTGTCTACTGTGCGCCCAGAGATAATTTCATCTTCAGAATAACCCTCTGGGGTGGACACTGTTACTGTCCCCACTTTCCAGGTGAGCAGCTGTGGTTCAGGGAGATGCTGTCGCTTGCTGGTAAAGAGCCTACGTTGGTCAGCCTGGGTTGTTTTGCCCCCATAATAGCCAGCGCCTTCAGCCTGTTTCTCCTTCGCCCACTAGCACGTAGGGAGCATCGTCCAAGGACTGTCCAGGAGAGGTGGAGGGAGACTAGAGGGACTTGAATTCCTCAAAAGGTCTAGAGTCACATTTCTTTTTCTAAAGGTGCCAAATGCAGTGGGGAGCCTGCCCCAGCAAGTAGGATCTAGCATCTACCCCCGAGGGGTGCATCCGCTCCAGCTGAGCCGTGTGTCTGGCAGTGGCGAATTTCCTGCTCGTTTTCCTGGAAAGTGTGGTTGTTTGAACACCACTCTCCATGAGCGTGTGATTTGATCCTTTGTTGATTGGGTGAGAGTCTGGGTCAGCAGCAGTGGCCACGCTGCCTTGGCAGCCCTGTATTTACACCTGTCCGGGGCAGTGCTGCCCCAAGAGGAGCACATGTCAGGGATAGTGACCTCTGTATCAGACCTCAGGGAAGGCTGTGTTGAGGACCCCGAAATGATCCCAACAGCTATCAAGGAGCAGAGCTGTCTTATTCATACCCTCATTTATCCATCTGTCTGTCCGTCCCTCTGTCTGCCCATCCTCAGTCCAGTGCGGTTCTGAACGTAGATGCCTGGGAACAGGGCTCCCATATTTTTAACGAGGGGCCCAGTTTTTATTTCCCGAGACTGAGATTACTACTGGGAGAACACAGCACTGAGGCTAAAAGACGGGATCGCAGCTGCTGTCTTTCCTTCCTTCTTGGGCGTCTGAACAAATAATAGGAGTGGGTTGGCTCCCCACACAGGAGGACTTGCAGGTTTGGCAGGGTGGGTCTCTGCTTCAGAGTCCAGCTTGGTCCGCGTTGGAAGGTGCAAGGTATCCCAGACGTGCCCTTCTGTGACTGCCAGCATCCTCGGCAGTTGGTCCTTTTCTGTCTCCTGAGAACAGAGGCCGTGACTGTCCCTGTGAGCCCCGTCCCTCTGGAGGGCAGCTGGTCCTTTCTCTGGGGTGGTGCAGCTCATACTTCTTTTCTGAATAGCATTAACGTTGACTTGGAAATGCCCTGGTTATTGTTAATGGCGTTATTAACCTTCCCCAGGGCCTCAGAAAGATGCCAGCAACAGATCCTCCTTTCAAGCCAGTGAGCTTGATAGTCTGGGTTCCCTCACACACCCCCAGTCCCCGTGTGGTTGGTTGCCGGAGGCCCAGCATCACACAGGGACAGCTCTGTTCCAAGCTCCCTCTTGCCATGCGTCCTCCCTCATGTTCACTGAGGTCCCTAGAGCTCTCAGCTCCCCACCCCGTGGAAAGCACAGAGAAGCAGGAAATGCAGTAACTGGCATTTTGCCCCAGTGTAGTCCTTTTAACGTCTAACTGTATTGTGGACAGAACAAGTCAGACTTGTGCTTATATCCTAGAACCTTTAATTTGTTTAAAACTTATTGTCTGCACTTTTATAGCCAATAAATAAAATGTGTAACTCAGAAGTCTGCCTTTATTAAAGAAACTGCAGACCAGCCACATTTGACCAAAGCCCTGTTGAAAGGAAGAAGCCTCCCGAGGATGGTGAGGTGTCTTGACAGCTGCACAACCAAGTGCGGGTGGCTAATGCAGGTTCCTGCTACCCTCACAAGCTTCAGGAACATTTACTTACCCTTTGTCTGGTGGCTTGTATGCAGACCTGCTCAGTCCTCCAAAATGACGGGGTGATTTGGAACCTTGAACAACAGGCCTACGGGGGCTGTGAATTCTGATTTGGGTTTTCCCACTACATAGGTATTCCAAGAGGCTCCAATCCAGTGGATTCTGCACACTTCATCTTTTTATCATCTTTCCAACCCTCTCTCTCAAGACCAATGTTATTAAAAAGATTTTTTTTCTTAGGTAACCACCAATTACATCTCCCACTCTGTCAGGTTTGCAGTCAAACTATTTCTTACCTGATTCAATCCCAAGCACAGTGTGTGTGCTCTGTCACTGTTACGTCTCTCTTCTGGGACCATTCATAAGATGTACCTGACACTTTCTTCCTAATAGAGGTGATGGAAAGAAAACCAGGGCAGTTTCTCACTTGAGGTTTTCATGAAACAATAGGGAGGGTAACAGGTTTTTAAGGGATGTGCCATTAACCATAATCTTTTTTTTTAGGTTGCATCTGATGCCAGAAGGCAAGCACAACCTGCATTTACGTTTTGCAGGTGAATTCAACAAGTTAGCGGAAGACTTCCTACAGTGACCGTGTCCCCGAGGACATGTGACCTGTGAATCCTGAGCCTGGGGCTTGAGCCTGGTGCTGCCTTTGAAACCCGCCTGCGGGTCACCCCCCAGTTCACCTGCCTTTCCAGTCTCCCCGCAAACTGCTCCTAATCCAACAGCAATGATGACATACTATAAGCATCCTCTAGCCTTCATAGCTACAAAAATGAAACCTGATTTTTCAGTGTTGTTAATTTCTACCATTGTCTTAAAAAATAAATTGCTATCATGATTTACTTTACTTTCAGGTTAACGTTCAGTGAAGCATTTGTAGTGTTCACCACCGCTCCTCTGAGTTGAATTTACACGGTGCCTTTTATCTGAGAGGTGCAAGCGTGCACTGGTCTTTGTATTCATCACATTGTTCACAGAGAAGTGGCTAAGCTGAAGACAGTCCTCGCCCGGGGCCCTGGATTCCACACGTTCACGGGGTTGCTGGAACCACAGCAAGCCAAGGAGGAAGGTCGGCTTTGTCCCCAGATCTCTATCCACCTCCACACACCTGGGTTCCTTTCCTTGAATACTTTGGGCCAGTGAAGCTAAAAATATGCCTCCTGGTCTCTCCTTACTGAAAGAGCGGAAAGGCTATTAATTAAAAACATGAAAGTAGAAATCCTGTTTTCTTAAAATTACTAAACCTGGAAACACTTAGGAAACATTTAGTGAAAGAATAAAAATTGTTTGCAATAAAAATTAAGAGACCACGGGATTTGGACACATGCTTTTTTATTAGTATAGATATCTTAGACAACACGGCAGTTTCCAGAGGAGTCCCACGTTACTACACCAACAGTGTGAATTTCTGACAGAGGCAAAACTGAGCACCATAGTATACAAATAGAAAGACCATGCTTGATTGAGGACAACAGAAGTTCACTAAGGATGCACGACCTATTTCAGAAGTTCTCAGGCCTCCCCCTTGCTCTCCTCCTGGCCTCCGGCCACGTCCAGCCGCACGCGGGGCTCAGGCCTCGTCCTCGCCCTCCTCCTCCTCAAACTCCCCCTGCTCGTCGGCCGTGGCGTCCTGGTACTGCTGGTACTCGGACACCAGGTCGTTCATGTTGCTCTCGGCCTCGGTGAACTCCATCTCGTCCATGCCCTCGCCCGTGTACCAGTGCAGGAAGGCCTTGCGGCGGAACATGGCCGTGAACTGCTCCGAGATGCGCTTGAACAGCTCCTGGATGGCCGTGCTGTTGCCGATGAAGGTGGCCGACATCTTGAGGCCGCGGGGCGGGATGTCGCACACGGCCGTCTTCACGTTGTTGGGGATCCACTCGACGAAGTAGCTGCTGTTCTTGTTCTGCACGTTGAGCATCTGCTCGTCCACCTCCTTCATGGACATGCGGCCCCGGAAGATGGCGGCCACGGTCAGGTAGCGGCCGTGGCGCGGGTCGCAGGCGGCCATCATGTTCTTGGAGTCGAACATCTGCTGCGTGAGCTCAGGCACCGTCAGCGCGCGGTACTGCTGGCTGCCCCGGCTGGTCAGCGGCGCGAAGCCGGGCATGAAGAAGTGCAGGCGCGGGAAGGGCACCATGTTCACGGCCAGCTTGCGCAGGTCGGCGTTGAGCTGGCCCGGGAAGCGCAGGCACGTGGTGACCCCGCTCATGGTGGCCGACACCAGGTGGTTGAGGTCCCCGTAGGTGGGCGTGGTCAGCTTCAGGGTGCGGAAGCAGATGTCGTACAGCGCCTCGTTGTCAATGGAGTAGGTCTCGTCCGTGTTCTCCACCAGCTGGTGCACAGACAGCGTGGCGTTGTAGGGCTCCACCACCGTGTCCGACACCTTGGGCGAGGGCATCACGCTGAAGGTGTTCATGATGCGGTCGGGGTACTCCTCGCGGATCTTGCTGATAAGCAGGGTGCCCATCCCGGACCCGGTGCCGCCCCCCAGCGAGTGGGTCAGCTGGAAGCCCTGCAGACAGTCACAGCTTTCTGACTCCTTCCGGACCACGTCCAGGACCGAGTCCACCAGCTCCGCGCCCTCCGTGTAGTGGCCCTTGGCCCAGTTGTTGCCGGCGCCGCTCTGGCCTGCCGGAGGGAAAGGAGAATATCAGACACGAAAACTTTAGCAAGGAATTCCAGATTCTGTCATTTTGACTCTGCACTAGATTTAGAGATGACAGATTCTTCTCTTTTAGAAACCCTTCCGACCTACAAACAATTTTTCTATATACCAGTGACCCTCAAAAACACTGGAGATCTAATGAAGCAAAAAGGTTAGTTCATATGAGGCAGTTAATTAAGAAGATGGTTTAACAAAACCCAATTGGTTTAAAATTAAGAACAAAGAACCTTATGTAAATACTTAAATCAGCTACAAGGAACAGGCAGGGTGGAGGCACACGTGATCAGAAGAGGCCGCCCCAAGCAGCTGTCTCAGCCGCTCCTAACCTGTGCCTTTGGCCTTCGCCCCAGGAAATGCCTGCCTGTTGTCACTGGTCCTCTGAGATGACCAGTCACCTGGGAGCTGCTGTTGGAAGCTTCCCTTCGCTCTTTATTCTCTGCCCTCCCCAGGCTGCTCTGCTGTGGGACGGACCCTCTGCAGGCGGACCCCGTCCTTTGAGCTGTGCGGAGAGGGGCCAGAGGAGAGACAGCCCGTGGACCGGGGGCAGTTAGGCCAGGACTCAGGGCCTCTGTGGACACGCAGCCTCCAGCGGGGCACTCAGCAGTGAGCTGTGACCTCCACGGGGCTTAGGAGGGCGTGGGCCTCCCGAGCCAGTGCCCGGGGACCACGCTACATACCGAACACGAAGTTGTCGGGCCGGAAGATCTGGCCGAAGGGTCCAGACCTGACCGAGTCCATGGTGCCCGGCTCCAGATCCACCAGGATGGCCCGAGGCACGTATTTGTTACCTGCGGGGACAGAGCAGGACTCAGACCTGCGGTCGGCAAAGGAATCACAGACAGTGCCCTGCTCTCTGGGCCTTTTATGGCAGAATTCAGCAGGGAAACTTCCAGCATGAGACAAAAGTAGGAGATTAGAGGCGGTTTCTGCTCTACAAAGGGAGATAATGGCCTGCCTCGTCATGACAAACATGCAGGAGACTTCAGGAGCTCTGAAGTGTGTTTTTGAGCAGTTAAAAATGCATGCAGGAAGCCTTTCCTTGTCATTTGCATGTTCCTGATACATTGCGTCTGCCGCAGAACAGAAAGCAAGGTGAGGGGGCAGGAAAGCTTCCAATAATCACCGGCAGCTTCATTGTAGTACACGTTGATTCTCTCCAGCTGCAGGTCACTGTCTCCATGGTAACTGCCCGTGGGGTCGATCCCATGCTCATCGCTGATGACCTCCCAAAACTGGAAATAAAGAAAACCGCATCCGAAGTATCAGTAAAGGTGGCCCCCTTCTCCCTCTCCTGTCCTTGGAACGGCGGCGTTGTGGTCAGACAGTCGAGGAGACCCAGACAGACCAACAGCTGCCCGCCCTGATCCTCCAGCAGCCGCTGCTGAGGGGCTCAGGAATCCGCCGCGCATCAGCCATATTATGGCGACAGGCTGAAAAGCTGGGAGGAGCCCTGGAGGAGGAGAGTGGGCACAGCCGCGGGGGCTGTCACCCCCGGCAGGGCTGAGTGTCAGCACCCCAGCTGATGGACGGGTCCTGGCAGGACCCACACAGGTGCACCCCGCCCTGCGGCTGCCGGCAGGGATCCCTGTTTCCTGGCACAAACCCGACCCAGCTCTCCAAGCGGCGCAGTGTTAGGCGCTGACATCTTACTGCCCTCCGGCCACTGACTGCAGCAGCGGAATGGTGGGGTAGCGCGGGCAGGAGCCCAGGAGCACGCGGGGGGCAGTGGCTGGAGCTGGCCACGGTGCGGGCTCAGGCTGCAGGCTGCATTGTGAATTTGCAGCAGGAAAGGGGGTGGCGGGGCTGGGGGGGGGCAATATGGCGGTTCTGAAAGAGACCACGTCCTCGTGCAGGCGCCCGCCCACACCCATGCACCATGCCCGTGGCGCCTCGCCCACTGCGGGCGACAGTCACAGCCCAGGACGGCCACCTGCCGCCGCGCAGGCGGGAATCAGACTCCGACGTTATACGTCAGTCTGTCTAGCTGGTGCTCGCATTAAAGGATCTAACATCCCTGTCTTTCGGACCCACGAGAAGTCTCCATAACATCTGTCACCCAATGACACTGCATTTTTTCATTCAAACTACAGACAAAATATACAAATTAAATTCCATATGAGGCCACTGGATTATCATGACCAAAGGCCCTATCCAAATCTCAGAGGCTAGTCAACCAGGGAAATACCAACCGCGTCCCTCAGAAGGGCCGGGTCCGAGGAAATTTCAAAGGGGCCTTGATTAATCACACACAGCTGCCTCGCCGCGCGCACCGCCGCAGGTTCTGTGGTTCCTGGGCCCCGCCCCGAGCCCGCGCCGAGAACGCGCCACCCGGGGCGGCGGCCCCCTCCCGGGCCCTGGCGCGCACCCTGGGGACCTGCCACCCCTCTCCCGCCCCTCGCGCGCACCCGGGGACCCGCCACCCTTCCCCGACCCCTCCTCGGTCTTCACCCTGGGGACCCGTCGCCCCCTCCCGGGCTCTGGCGCGCACCCTGCGGATCCGCCGCCCCTTCCCCGGCCCCTCCCGGGCCCTGGCGCACACCCTTGGGACCCGCCACCCCTCCCCGACCCCCTCCTCGGTCTTCACCCTGGGGACCCGCCGCCCCCTCCCGGGCCCCTCCCGGGCCCTGGCGCGCACCCTGCGGACCCGCCGCCCCCTCCCCGGCCCTGGAGCGCACCCTGGGGACCCGCCACCCCTCCCCGGCCCCTCCTCGGTCTTCACCCTGGGGACCCGTCACCCCTCCGCGGCCCCTCCTCGGTTTTCACCCTGGGGACTCGCCACCCCTTCCCGGCCCCTCACGCGCACCCTGGGGACCCGCCACCCCTTCCCGACCCCTCCTAGGTCTTCACCCTGGGGACCCGCCGCCCCCTCCCCGGCCCGCCCCAGCGCGCACCTTGGCGCCGATCTGGTTGCCGCACTGGCCCGCCTGGATGTGCACGATCTCGCGCATGGTGCCGGCTGCGGAGCGGGTGGAGGCGCGGGCCCTAGGCTACGCTATGCGCGGCGCCAGGTGGCGGACACGGGCGCAGAAACCTGCCGCCGCCCCTCCGGCCGCGCCTTTTATCGCGGATGCCCCGCCCCCGCTCGGTGACGTCAGCGGGCGGGGCGCGGGGGCGGTGCGGCGGGGCGAGGGGACTGCGGCACCGCGAGGGGGAGCCGGGGCGCGGCGCGAGGTGCGGGCCGGGGTGGGCTGCGCGGGGTGCCCGGGGTGCCCGGGGTGGGCAGCCCAGCCTTTCCCGTGGGGTTTGCGGCGTCCCTAGGCTCCCTGCCTCCCGGGCAGGGTCCCGGACCCGCGGCCTCGATCTCCTCCTTTTCGGGGTGGGAATGGCGGCGGGTGCAACCGCGGGGAGGGGGTGCGGGGCGGGGAGGATGGGGGTCCCGGTGCGGGCCGAGAGCGGCTGCCTTCGAGGAGGCCGGGGATGGCGGGCTGGGCGCCCTCCGCCTCTGCCCACATGTGGAAGGCGGTCGGTGGGGGAGGGGCCGGGAGAAGTGCCTGGGCGCCTGGGCCTGTCTCGCGTGTGCTTTGGGTCCTGCGTCCTCGCACAGGCCGCTTACATGTGCAGAATATCGCGTGCGCGCCTGGGTGTCCCAGCGAGCACGGCATCCCGGCGTCAGCCCGAGCACGTGCCTTCCACGCGTTATGTCCCCTCGTGCCC